ACTAGTCCCTAATTCTGGGACGCCTGCAGGACCATCCTATCGGATACATTCCTGCCATCTATCTATCTATTAGTGTATCCGAGATTTGTCATATTGACTGTATCCGCTGCTGTATTGTCTTGAGCACACTTTGGTTGCTCTTGCTTTGTTGTTGCGGCGGGTGTTGCCACTCGTATTGTTCTTCTTGTGTGTGGCACACGCTGCTACGTGACACTGACATGGATTTTCAAGTTGTTTGTCGTTGTGTGTCCTTAGGGGGCCCCTCCACCCCCCTTCGTTCATTTGCCGTGTTCGTGCCCCAAGACCTACTTGCACTTTGTCAATTCGCAAATCTTTTTAGACGCCATTCTTTTTAGCGAGTTTAGGCGCCGACTCCCGTGCCATCATCAAAGGCCGCGCACACCCAAAGTTTGCCGAACTAAACTCGAACAAATGCTGGATCCGCCACCCAGAGGAGCTTCAGGCATTGAAGATGCTGGCTGTGCCTCCATTCCAACCAGTTAACAATTGTGCGAGTTAACTTTGATGAATTCAATTATTCGAGCACAACATACGAGTACTACCCCTCTCTGTCGGGCATATGGCTGTCCCTCTCACCGCGCACGTGTGTGTCGCTCCTCCAGCGACGTCTCAATCTGTAAAGTGGATTTATTTCGCCGAAATCGAAAGTTGATTTCCCCCCTCCTCCTCCCCACCCCGCGCAGTACATGTGTGTGTGTGTGTCAGGCCCCTGCCGAGCCCTTGGCCCTTCGCTCTTGTGTTCCGGGGAAACATTAAAGGATTTATCAATTTGCGCAATGGAACTTTCGGAAGTCAAACAGGTTCCAGATTTTTGTTGTTCCTCCCCCCCTAGTGATTGATTAAATTGTTTCTTGGCTTTTGTGGGGCTCCAGGCATTCGGTTAAGGCAGTGGAAAAGTTTGACAGCCAAAACCTCAAAGGGTTTCCAAATCAATTAGACAATACCCAAAATTTATCAGTATCCGTATCCATATCCGTATCAGTATCTGTATTACTCTTTAACCCTTTCCCCAGCTCTTTTGCTCGCCCCCAAAAGCCCCTTAAAAGCCCTAATCCCGCCCGCTCCATTTCACTAAGGACTCGTCAAGCCCCCAGTATCCAAAATGGCCATAAACAAGCGCAATACGAAATGCGAAATGCGGAAAGTGCAAATGCAAATTGCTTTCTGTGGTTGGGGAGGGGAGCCGAGGGCCGGTCTCCACAGAAGCCGCAGCAAAACTGGAATGAAAGCCAGGGACCAGACTGTGGCAGTTCTCTGGTCAACATATTATGCTTTATTAACAACGAAAATCGTAAAATTCGTAAATGAAAATGCTGCTCGGCTTACGATTATGATCGGGGAGGACAGGACAGCATTCAAGCCGTTCAAATGAGGAAAGAAATGCAAATGGCAGAATGGCAGTACAACAGAATGGCAGAATGGCAGAATGGCAGAATGCAATTGCAAATTGGTGGCAAACAATGCAAATATTAAAAGCCAAATCAGAAATCAGAAAAGAAAAACCCCTGAATTGCAATTAAACGATTGCCTGAATACTCGAACACTCGTACACTCGTATATGGAAATGGAAATGGAAATGCAAATGCATTGCATAATGCTCAATTGCCGGAATCCGCGGATCCCTGGATCCATGAGGAATGAAATTACAAAATGTAACCATCAACAGCAACAGCAACAGAAACAGATCCAAGCAAAAGCAACAGCAACAATGGCCGTGGCAGTGGCCGTAACAATAAAAACTGACAAACCAATCGGCCAGGCCATAACAACAACTATTAAATTAATGTTGAAAACTGAAATCAATTTATTTGTAGAAAATCATGACGCATGAGGGAGCAGGGAGCGACCAAGTGGGCCTGGGGCCCTGGGCTCTCGCCGCACATTATTTAATGAATAAATCACACTGGCATCGGGGGCCCTGCAGCGGCCAAAATAACCAAATAACCACGACAAATAACCAAAATCACACAAATTTCAATTGCAGCCACACAACACACAAAGAACTGACCAGGCAGACCATCAAGATCAAGTTTTGAGCTGGTCTTCAAATCGCATGCCCATTCAATTTGATTCAAGTGCAGTCTGGCTCAATCCTGGAGTGGCAATTTAATTTGTAGCCATTTTTTGCTAACATATTTAATCGACCGACGAGTATTCAGAGTTATCGGTTTAATTGGTGGAAAATCATTGCAAATGTCTATATACGAGTCCTTTACGGTTCCTGGTAACGTTCTCTTGATTTGTGTACTCTTCGGCCACAATGGGCCTCTATAGCTTCATAGTTTTCGAAGGCCAGGTGGTCAAATAGAGCATTGGAGTCCCAGGCGAATGGAAGGATCTACGAAAAGGTGGCCTGTGGAGCTGAATGTTCCCAGTCAGTTAGATGGTTCCATGGAATTCTAATCCGGAATTGATAGATGTACATATGTATGTCTTTCCATCTTCCTACACAATCTCAAAACCTTTTCCTATTTTAAGTATTTTTCTTTTATAAACGTGTTAACTTGAAAGAACGCTTCTTTGACTCAATAAGGATCATGTTTTTCGCTGTGAAGCTTATACAAATTTCATAAGTTACCGAAAAAACACCCCTTTTAATTTTTAATATATTTAAATTATTAATTTAATTTAGTAATTAATTTCTTTGGAATATTATACGTATTCTTTATGTTCCAAAGACTGCATGATCTACAACACAGTCCAAAAATCAAGGTATCATATCTAACATTAAGAAACGAATCCATATATACCATAATCTTAACTCCCTTTGTCATACCTTATGGCCTAGATTACAACACGTTCTAAAGCCAAGGTATCAGATCTACATACAGCTTTATATCCATATATACGAATCCATATAAACTATAATTATATTTGGCATACCTTATCCCCTGAACTATCCCTTAAGATAAATGCACTTAGTATTTACAATCCCCTAAGCTTAGAAAAATTTTATAAATTCTTTCCTAATCTCCTGTATTTATAGTTGGTTTCTTTAGTATCTTAAACAATTATTAGCAGATAGTTGTTAATTAGTTAAATAAATAGGGAATATATTGACCCTTGAACCCTTCTGAATTCGAATATAAATAATATAAATGGAATAATAAAAGCTGGCAAAAAACCTTACGAAACAAGAAACCTAAGAGAGATTATTTTAATCCTGTTCGTTCCAGTTGGGACATTGAGTTATGAAATTAAATATACCATGCTTTGTAAATATGCAATGTTATTAGTTGTAATTAATGTACATACCCGTAGAAGACACTTCAAAGCTTATTTTAATTTATTTTGAAATAATTGCACAAGTCCTGACTTCCAGCGGCTTTGCTGTGAAGGCTGAAATAAAGTATTATATTTTTGTAAATTAAAATGCAAGTAAGAATCAATCCAATCAGTGTCTAGGATGGGCAGCGGGTCCCAGGAGCCTGCTAGTTGGCCAATTAAATTCAAATACATAATTGATAAGCGGGTTGGCTAATTTAACGGCCCGACGAACAGCAGGAACAACAATCACAACAATAATGACAGGAATAACAATATGCACAGAGGTTCGAATTAATGACAAGTAACAGGATAACGATTTCAGCACGAACCCAAACACAGCAGAAACAGGAGCAGGAGCAGGGACAGGAGCAGGACCAGGGAATATCAATTCCTTTGGCCAGGGCTCAAGCCGAAGCTGCGATGTGTCCCAGTCCCACGGACATTTATAGTTTATTTGATTTGAATTCTGTTGACAGAACGGCAATGTCCTGCTCATAAAATGTAAATATTGTGCATAGATGTACAAGTATTTTGTGCACGCGTGTCTGAGTGTCCTGCCATTTTGTTTGGCAAAAAGTTTCTGCCTGAAAATGTGTCCGGTCCGGTCCGGTCCGGTTCAGTGCCGTGCAGTTCGGTTTGTGTTTGGCTTATAAATAAGTTAAATAATTTTGGGAAATTTATTTGATTACGCAATTTATAATTGACGCTTATCCTTCGGGGAGGATCACGTGCCTGCCAGACATGATTTTCATATCACAATTTGGGCTTGCGGCTCTTGATTTGTGTTTGCCATGCGTAATTGCGCACCGGAAGTGCAGAGTGGCCATTAATGATGCTGGCCGTGCATTTTGATTTTGTTTAGATGTTTAGTCAGTGGACAGTGGACAGTGGGCTCTGGACTGTGGACAGTGGACTGTGGGCGGTGTGCTGCACTCTGGCTCCCCCTGCCCAGCCATTGGCGGTACTATCGAAGCTTTCGCAGGCAAAAGCTCAGCGACTAAACTTTATTCAGCCGCTCTGGCCGCCCAAGCTCCTTTGTAGCGAGTGAGCTTATCATTTACTCGGTTCCACAGTCAACCCCCCACGACCCTTGTAATGTCCTTGCCGGGCCAGGCCGAAACCTGTATAATATGGTCATTGACAAATTTCCATGGCAGTACGCATGCACTGTAGAGCGTAGAGTCCCCACGCGCAGGATTCGAAGCTTTGCGGGAGCTTTTGCCGTAACATGTGGCCGCATGTCAGATGTTCATCGAAGGACGAGGATGAGGATGAGAGGGCTTTTGCGTGGGCTTAGGCAAAAACTAGTAGCTATGCAAAAAAATAACAAATAAAGGAAGAATCAAATACAAAGTCACATGCTTAAGGATACTCCTTTTTGAATGTTTTTTATAACACAAAAAAATCTTGTAAAATGTAGCCTATCGAGCGGCATAGAAGAGTATTCGTTAATTTCATTGACCAAAAATAAAGTCCGACTGCAAGGGATCTAAGACGAATACCTTGCCCAAACTTTCTCCTCCAAAGTCTCCACTCGCCAAAAGTTCTGCTCCCGCCACAGAGCCCCGACCACCCGCTGGCCGAGCACCCAAAATCGATGCCCAACCGGTTCGCTCTCTCTCTCTCTGTGTCTGTGGCTTGGCCAGCAGCTTTTTCCTCGCTGTTCCTTGAACGTGTGGGCCAAAACGCGAATGAACATCGACCGTGGAAGTTGGCTGCAGCAGTACAAAGCGCTAGGCTGAAGGTGAATGAGAACAGGAAAATTCTACAAGGGAAACGCTTACAAAATCCGACCGATAATTCGAAATAAATGATGAAATAATCAAATCAAATCTATGGAATAATTGGTAAAAAGCTAACAAAAACCCTGACAAGTGATTCTCGACGGTTATGTAAAAGGAAATTCCATCGAAAGCCCCGAAAAGTTTCCGAGCGCGTGTGTGTGTGTGTGTGCGTTGCTCTGTGTCTGTGTCTCTGTGTGTGTGTTTGCACGCGCTGACGAAAAAGGAGAACATTTTTTGTGTATCAGAATTTTTCGGTGCTGTTTAGGCAAAAACCACGAGCAAACGGACGAGACAAAAATAATGTAGGAGCCGTCTAAAGGAGATTCGAATTGAAAAATCCAATGTGCAATGCAAAAAATTTATTAGAAATCGAGAAACACAGAATGGGGCATCGTTGAAAGTGAAAACGCATGTGAGCCACTTGCTGGGTTATTGATTTTTCCACATGATTTCTGTGGCAGTGTGGTCTGAGTGCAAAAAGAGATGACATTAAAAAAGAAAAAGAAATACAATCGCATTTAATGGAAAGCGTTTTCGAGTATAATATAAATAATAATTATTAAATAAACTAAGGAAACGAAAGGAACGGAAGGAAAAGAAAAGGAAGAGCGTTCTTTATCCATTTCAAGTGTGTGTGTGTGTGTGTGTGTGTGACTGTGCGAGAGAAAAAGAAAAGAGGAAAGCTCAGGCGTTACGGCTCTAAGAAAATCTCTATCCTGAATTTGCTTTCAACGTCGTCTTTGAAGGAAAAGCGTATTTGCCAACTTAACCTCGCTCTCTCTCGCTCTCTCTTTGCCCCTACATGCACACGCACCCACACACGTAACCTTTTAAGCAAAGAGACAAAATACACACCCGCCCACACACCCACACACACACACACTCACACACAGTCGCATACGAGATTCGCTCTATCAATATTTACGCATACCATTGTATTTTGATATTACGTATTCGCACCGTTACTCTCCCGCACTCGTACTTACTTTGTCTCTCTTTCTCTCTCTCTCTCTCTCTCTCTATTTCTCCCTTATCTCGCTCTCTCGCTCTCGCTCACTGTTCGGTCCGGTGCTCTCGCAATGTTTGGTGCAAAATACACGAAATTGTCATAAATTAACAAATTAAACTCGCAAATTCAATGCAAATCGTGATAAATACAAATCAGACTTATACAAAATTCATGTGAGACCAGCGAGCCGCGGCCCCTAGCCAAAGCTAGCCACGTACCAAGGAGCAGCAGCAGGAGCAACTCACACACACCGAAGGACCCGCATCATCATCATCTTTCCTGCCCAGTCGTCGCCACTGCTGCCGCCCTTGCCCCGGAGTCACACTTCGTTAGACACTGCTCAAAACCCATCATCTAACCAGTAAAACTGACTATAAACAGGCACATTAAGTCCAAGGCAAAGCGCAGGCAGGCCCAGACTTTGATTGGGGAGAGGCATCATCGGAAAGAGCGGCAACACTGTCTGACTAGGAGGTAGGTCGAATAAATTAAACAAGAAAGGATTGGGTAAGAGCTATAATACAGAGGGGGCAGATCTGGCAATTGGTAGATTGCCACTCACAGGAGAGTAAGGACTGCAGTTACATATATCCCTAGGAGGAATTACTATTTTACAGAAAGTTAAACCAAGAAAATGCACATTCGTGTTGGATTTATTGTATTATCTTGAATTTGATTAGGCCTTGTGGTTTTTTCAGGCAAGATTAGCCTAGGATTTGTATGAAAACAACATGGCTGGATATTAGTGGTTTCCGTAGAAAAACTAGATTAAATGTAAGACCACATTCCGTATACATTATAATGAACAAGTTGTCTTCTTGTACTTGGCGTTGGGAATTTTCCATGGAAGATTCATTTCCCCTGCCGCCCAAAGCCTCTGCCCACGTTCAAGCCCACACAAGATACTCGTATCTTATTCATTACGTTCCTCTTATCTATGTCTAATGCCGGCTAAACTTGATTAAGCATCTCTTTGGCTAATTAGCTTTGAAAGACAGACAGACAGACGGAAGGAGAGGAAGCAGGAATTTCAGATATGTAGATGGAGGAGGCCATGGGGGGTAAAAAGGCTCCTGCGAAGTATGGAAACCGCACATAATAGCCAATAATCAAGTTGGGCCCCCAGCCCCCCCTCCAAGACAGACATAGTGGGACACCTACCAGTCTTTTGACCCCTTGCATAGATATTCCCCCGTGAGTGCAGTGAGTACTGTTTTTGATACTCTTATAATATATAATTTTGGAAAGCAATTTTTGGTCAATCAATGGAAAAGCGTTTGTTCAATGAAAGCGAAAAGCATAATGATGTGGAAAATTGGTTTTTCTCCTCGGGCATTCTTCATGTCTCAGCCACAGTCTTGTCCTTCTTCGCCGTCTCGTTTCGGTTTCTTCCTATTTTTTTCCCCTATTTTTTGTGCAGAGTTTTTATTTTGTTGCCTTCTCTGGGTTATGTGCGCAGTAGAGGGCAAAGAGAGGCGGAGAAAGCGGCAAAGAGAGAGCTCTCTCGCCAAAAAAGTTTAACCGATTCCTGCTCCGAAGCTCATCCAAACGACGGCGAGAGAAGCTCGGGCCGTGGGCCGTGGGACGTGCGACGTGGGCCGTGAAACATGGGCCCCCTTCCGCTTGATTCTGGTTCATTTTGGCCTTTTGTGCGTGTGTTCCACAGATGTTACCAGTAGATCTGAATCCTTTTTCCATGTGGGGGGGGCGGTCTTCCCTGTTTTTGTTTATCCATTGCAGGTAATGGCTGGCCTGTCAGTGCTCTCTAATTTGTTTTGACAGCTTGATTGTCAGCTCTTGGCATTTACGTATGTCCTGTACGTATCTCTCTCTCTCTTTCCGTGTTTCGATCTGATGGGCTTTTGGCCTCGTTTATCTACTGAATGTTTGATGATGCAAAAATTATCTTATCGCTAAACGAATTTGCCCCTAATCTACTCGTAAATGAACAGACAATTGTTGATATTTTCCTTTTTTCACTGCCACAACCCTATCACCCTCTCTCCCATCTATCATGAGTCTGTTCCACCCACTATCGCTGGAGCAGACAGCTATTCTATTTATAGACAACCGCGAAAGGTCAAAGCGCAGAAATTATTATGCATAGTAATAGAAAAAAAATCTATATAATAATTGGCTGGGATAACGACATATATACCATGCTATGGGAGGTACGATTGGATACCTTACCTCCAGGGATCATCAAATTTGAAAAGAATAAAAAAAGTTGTAACCAATCGATTTAAAACCGCATTGGACCCCTTGATTGAACTATTGATTGAGATGGCGCTCCTTGGCAGGCAAATCCTCGTCTTCTACCTCTGAGAACATCCCCATCAAAAAAGACTTGTAAGGCCCATCATCTGTAAGATATGTACTACACACTCGTCTGTATAAGAATTCCCTATGCCTACTGCACATTTAATGGTTGGCTTTGATGACCCAATTTCGAAATGGGAAATGTTTGCCCATCAGTTCTCAGTGCATATTTAAGCTCTTTTACAGGTCCTCATAACGAGGACTTACAACACCATCAAAGAGCGAGACGAGAGGCAGCTGTTGGGGCCCTAAAAGAGACTCTCGTACGAGGCGCTTGGACTGCGTAGTTTTCCGCTTGGGCCCCAGACAAATTGGCACCAAAAAATAATACATACTCATATACTATACACCTATTTGACCTGTGGGCAGCGAGTGGAACGAGAACTGGCAGACTGACAGAATTTCTGGCCTGTTCCGCAGAGCTGGTTCCGGGATAGTGCTGGCCTTCTTTTCCGCTCCTCGACATAGGCTTTTGGCGCTTATTAACATGCAAATTTGGGTTAATGGCAGGACATTATTTAGCTTGAGATTTTTGGTGCACCGGCTTTCACTTTTCAGGGGTTTTTCCAGAACAAAATGCCATTTAGTGAATCTAAAGTTCATTTCTTGGTGCGATTTTCAGACACCGTGAATCTTTCTAGTCTCCCAGCTGTCATTCCCTCCTCTTATTTGATTTCCAGTCGGCATTCCCATGAGAAAACTTCTTTAAGCTGCTTTTAAATGTATTGATTTGTGGAAAAGCGAACTGCTTGAAGGCGTGGTCAGGATCTCTTTCGAGCAGCCTGCTTGGGGCCCCCCTTCAGAGTACATTTTCATAAATTATATAACAAGCGCAAACAGCATAATTTCGCATATTTTCTATGCAAATTGCGTTTAGTCGCGCCCATATCGGCGCCTTCGAGGGCAGTTCTTGTTAAATAAACACAACTTTTGGACCCGTGGTTGAATTTTAAGCGTATTTATGGGGTCGGATGGGCAAAGATGTCCTCGGGCCTTTCCATTTAAGAAGCTCTCTCGGAGTTTTTCTCATCTCGTATAGTACGTGCAGCTGTCTGTGTGTGTGTGTGTGACGGGACTTTAGCAAGGGTATATACTCGTATATGTGTGTCCTTTGACGTCATTTGCCAAGTAAACAATTGTCGGGCAACGGCAGCAGGCGACAGGCAGCAGCCACGCGGTTGCCAGCAATTTGAAGTCACTTTGCTCCTAAATTGCTCTTATCCCAGTTTGTTGTTGGCTTCCTCTTTTATTCTCCCAGTGGGGGGCTAAGTGGGTGGCCATTATAATTTATCTCTGGCGCAAGGAGCTCTAGGGGAAACTAAAGCTGCTTTTCCTAGAAAATAAAATATGTAGGTGCAGTGGACGCAGCAGCCTCCAGCAGTGCCTATTATAATTCATCTCGAGGTCTTGTGATTTATTCAAAATACAGCAGCATCCTTTGATGGAAAATGGTGTGCATAGGTTCCGGCAGAAATAGGTGCGGGTAGTAGGATTACGAGGAGGACAATCTGCAGAAAAGTTGCTTATTTTCCTATTATACTTTTTTTATATTATCGGTGACGTCTTAACTACTCGAAAAACGTTATATCGGAGCCATTCTTTAGTTAGTTTAAGGTCTAATTCTTTTTGACAGACTGCATGTCTTCAGTTTAACCTTTGATGGATCTAAACCTTATCCAATTGCTTGAAACATAATTTTGAGTATTGTATTATATCGTTAGCGATACTAGCGGACCCTGCGAACGTTGTAACACCTTCAGATAAACCATAGAGTGATAATTAGACACTGACATATGATTTTATCTGTATGGACCATTTCGGATGGCTGAATGATAAATGATAAATGAATCCGGATTGTCCGTAACTTCGCACGTACGTCATCGCATCTTGAGCGTACTCATTCATCTGGCGAGAGCTGCATAAGTAGCTGGGAGAATGATTAAACAACCGATGTTTGCCATGTTCCCTTCAATCATTCGTCTGATCGTAACTTCGACTGATTTGTCCGACGCAGTACTGTTAAATCAATCGATGCACATACAAATTCATTGAACTGACCTTCATATTCGTTTGATTGACTCCTGAAATAGTATTGGAATGAAAGAATTAATGACTATCGTTGGTTTGCGTATCTTAATATCGAAGTGAAGCCATCATTCTCCACGACATCCCGCCAATGGGTGCATCACATGACCGATGGGTCTCGTACACGCGTTGCAAGTGTCCACCATCCCGAGGCCCTAGAGCACTATCGCGTGATGCCACATTCTCGCCCACAATTATCACTGCGACTGTATTCCAGAGGGTCTTTTGTCTGCTCTGACAAGGATTTTGCATTGCATCCAATATTAATAATGCTCATGAAGAAGATTTTGCAGTTGTTCTCTCATTTCACGTCACCAACGAAACAGATCTGAAGGAAATTCTGATTTTCGTTCCTTCGCTCGTTGTATTTCCATAGAGAAACGAATAGATTCCGATTGAAACTTCAATCCATTGCAATGTTGGCATACTACAGATCTCTCTAGGCGATTGCGGAATCTCAATCGAAAGCATTCAAGTCTTCATTTCCGACTAGTCTTCTTTAATTTACCTCATGCGTTCGATTATAATGGAAATCCTAACTATTTATGTCGACACGTCGTCCAAGGTTTGGTCGTCTAAAAGCAGGCATTAATCAAGCAAATAACTCAATATTAACTGTCCATGTTAAGGTCTTCTAAAAGCAGGCATTAATCAAGCAAATAACTCTATATTAATTGAGATTTTTTTCATAAGAGAAGTAAATAAAATTCCCAAAATTGTCCAAACCTGTCCAGCCGTTCTTAAGTGATGTAATTCTATACATTTTCCCCTCTTCAGTTACATACACATATAAATTTGTAGATTCTCCAGTTCCCCCCAGTCCCAGTGTATCCTCTCCATTCCACCACTGCCATACATATATCTTGTTTTATATCGATCCTAATACTGAATCCCAGCTATTCGAATATCTTTTCTTTTACGTACATTCATAACTATTCGTTTTATGAAGAAAAAACCATTCTAAAAGCACAAAGTGCGGTTTTGCATACATTTTTAATGGGGTTCATCAAACCCCCAAGGACCAGGACGAGTGTCATTCAACTTGCGAGTACGAGGGGTCAGCAAAAGTCTCAATTTCGCGCAGCCAGACCAGTGACAGCTTATTGTCAATCAAGAAAATATGAGTATATTTTTTAATAAGTGGAAACACAAATACCCGAGGGTCCGCGGCTTAGCTCCCTAACAATGGCAGTTCAGGGTCAAAGGACGTCAGACAACAATAGCAAAGGACCCGACTCAAGCAGATTCGCTTTATCCATAAGTAGGCTCAAATTGTTAAAGTAAGTGAAAGGCCAAAAGGAGCAAAGAACCGAGGAATAAAATATGAAAAAATTCAAAACGAGGGACTACAAGGCAGATTAATATTAATGAATTCAATTAGAAAAGAAGGCGGGAAAATTAGAAAGGAACAAGCAAAGGAAAAAGAGAAAGAAATAAGAGCAAAGTGTATAAGGACCCCCGCGAGTGTAAGCTTTTTATGTGGGTTGCTATTGCGGATACATATATATATACATATACATTTATCGCTGTGTGTGACAGAGTGCGTGCCCTTGGCATGCTGGGGATAAGCACTTTTGCTGGGTGCGTTCTATCCCAGCTTTCTCCCACCCCACCGCACCGCACCGCGTAGACGCCGTCAGCGCATTTCTAGTGTTTCAAGGACACCGCCAGTGTAGGAAAAGTTTGTAATGACTTTTGTGGGATTTCTTTGTGGCAAAATCGTCGGCATTCCGGCTATTTTTAAAACGGATGCTCGCACAATATGGAAATTGACCGCACATTAAACAAATGATGGTTAAAGTAAGAAGAATTTAAATAAAAATGGTCTAGGCTCCTTAAATTAGGTAATTATAAAATTAGAAGCAAGATCGAAGAGTCTAAGTGTGGTATGAGGCACAGAAGATACTTGGAAAGGAAAGGAAATATATGGATTTACTGGCTAGATTATTATAGGTATTATATTGTATTTTTTGTTTGTTTTTCCAGCAGAATCACAACACAACAAAATGCCGCCAAATGCAAAATCGGAAGCGGACGCCAAGCCGGACGCAGAGCCAGCGCCCGAGTCGGCAACAGAACTAGATTCCGTGGACCAGAAGCTGGAAGAAACACATCACTCCCGGTTCCGCGAGCTGGAGAAGCAGGAACAGGAGTCGGCCGCCGAAGAGGCAGCGGCAGCGGCCGCCGAAAGTCAACGAATCGCACAGGTGGAGACAACAACAAGGAGCGCAACCACAGAGGCTCAGGGTGAGTACCAGAGAAACGAAAGGAGCCAGAGATATACATATATGGACTGTGTTGTGGTGTTGCAGAATCAACTACCACCTCCTTGCCGGTCATCAAAAAGATTGAGCATGCCGGCGAAGTGGTCACCGAGGCGATTGCGGAGCGCACGGGCCTGCCGACATGGGGCGTGGTGGCCATCATAATACTCGTATTCCTCGTCGTCTTTGGTATTATATTCTTCTGTGTGCGGAGGTTCCTGAAGAAGCGAAGAACCAAAGATGGTAAGGGTAAGAAGGGTGTCGATATGAAATCGGTACAGTTGTTGGGATCGGCCTACAAGGAGAAAGTAAGTATCTGAGCCGCCATCAAATATTAGTAGTTATTGGGTTCTGGTATGCCATAGGTTCAGCCTGATATGGAGGAACTCGCCGAAAATGCCGAAGAGGACGAGGAGGACAAGCAGAGCGAACAGAAGCTGGGGCGTCTCAACTTCAAGGTGGGTCCTACCGCTCATTCCCCCAGAGCACACCACTCTTAACTAATCCCAAAGAATACAGAACTAACCAAAGCCAAACTCAGATAGGTGTAAGATGTGTGCACAGGGAAACACACACAAAGAACAAGGACCACTACTCACTCTTATAACTCTTGCTTCCCACAAGTATACCCTTATGTTTCAATCACACTCGAACTCACCCACTGAACAACATTAGATTAGACCAAAATTAGTTAGTTGTTGGCAGCTGTTAGATGTATTTCCGATCTGGGATATATCTCTCAGTGCGAACAAGCCTAAATCTGAAACTGAAACTGCACATACTCGTACAAAATATATAAACACGAAATTCCAATATCTTGAACTAACATAATCTCGTTCTTCCTCTCTCAAAATCCGAATATCCCCTGTTGTGGCCCCCTTTGTTCGATTTTGTATCTTGCAGCTGGAATACGACTTCAATTCGAATAGCTTGGCCGTTACGGTCATACAGGCCGAGGAGCTGCCCGCCCTGGACATGGGCGGCACTTCGGATCCCTATGTCAAGGTCTACCTGCTGCCGGACAAGAAGAAGAAGTTCGAGACCAAAGTGCATCGCAAAACGCTGAGTCCGGTCTTCAATGAGACGTTCACCTTTAAGGTAAGGAAGGAGCACATCCACTCTTGGCTATGGTATTTAATGGTCGATTCCAGAGTTTACCCTACGCCGATGCCATGAACAAAACGCTCGTGTTTGCCATTTTCGACTTCGATCGCTTCTCCAAGCACGACCAGATCGGCGAGGTGAAGGTCCCTCTGTGCACGATCGATCTGGCGCAGACCATCGAGGAGTGGCGCGACCTCGTCAGCGTTGAGGGTGAAGGCGGACAGGTATGTAGAGCTGGGCCCGCCACAAGGCCGGGGCAGTCGAGGTCGAGGGGCTAGGCCACGTCTCGTACATCTGTCCAGAATATCTGTAACTCTCTCTCTCTCTGTCTATGTATAACACTCGGTGTGCCTCTAAGTTTTTTTTTTGATTTTGTCCAACCAAAGAACGAAGTTAACCGTTATCTGTGTCTTATGATTTATTGGGTCTGTTATTTGTTTTCTCTAAGTTATGCAAGTCCTCTCCAAACCGACGACTGAGCAAGCAGTGCAGTCTTCTGTTCTTAAGACGATTGTGTTTTGTGTGTATACGTATTTGCATTGCAATTTCAATCGGAAGTCGACAATCGATAAGTCGATAAATACTCGTACAGCAGAAAGCAATCAATCGCTCCAAGACGATCCAAGTATTTCCAAACCGACCCCCGTCCTCGTTAAAGTACATGGAACAAAAACAATTACAAAGAAAACTCTCCAGAACAGAAACAATATCAACAAAACAATGAAAACTCCTTCTTCGCGGAACAGACAAGCAAAAGTTTATCGAATCTCCTATGAAACTCCCATGAAACACACCCAGTTCAAAATGCAAATATAAAAACATGAATCAAAAACGAATAATATAACGATGCAACAACAAAAAATCCACAGAAAACAGACGGGGAGAATCCAATTCGGAAATCACAACTGAATTTGCTCCTCCCCTACCCACCCCCCCAACCCCCCAACCACCAACTCTTTGACAGCATTATGATTTCCCTCTCTACTCTGTACTCTACTCTACTCTACAACTACAGCAAAAAATAAAACTCTAAATTTCTCTTTCTCCAATCCCCCATCCAAAACAAAAAACAAAAAAACAAAAATTGTTTTCGAAACATATAATCTCTTGTTTTCTTGAACTTTTGTAGAAGGTAAATACGAAACATACAATAATTACAAATCTTACAACAAACCAAAGAGAACTCTGTTACACTTTTGCATACTTGATTTGAGTTTATCATTTGTACCCTCCAACCTCTAACCCTCTAACCCTCTAACCCTCTAACCTCTGTATAACCTGCTCTCTGAACTGTCGCTCTTGTACATGAAATCTGTCTATAATAATCATTGTATCCAAAGCAAACTCTAACAATACTACTGCATATCTTCCAAACTTCTTTGTCTGATCATCCTAATCAATCACTTTCGTCTTGAGCGATTGTTCTTCTTCTCTCTCTCTCTAACTCTCTCTCTATATATATACATTCAATACATACTTATATATCCTGATATATTGTTATGTCTGCATTCTTTCTCGCATCATTAATATTGTAGTTGAATTTTTGTATTGATATAAGCAATTTTGTCTATGTTTGAGCTGTCTTGTTTGCAACGAAATACTAACGAATAGAAAGGCATTTTCTGATAAATGTTTTCACATTTCCATATATGCAAATAATCACACTGCAATATTATTTTGCTGAGAAAATCTGTGGCATAAGAAAAAAAAACAAACGCAAAAATCAGCGTGGCTTCTTCTCCACCAGAAACCCCCTCAATCTTCCTTCATTCTTCCAAATGTTATTGCCTTTGTCGGGGCCCATTGCCACGCTGCCCAACTATCTCAAAAAGTATCTCTGAAACACTAATCACACACTAATTTTTGTTTGCACTTTAATTGGAACAATTTAACGCCGAAAATACTGGAAACTTTTGCATATCTTTCTTAAAGTAGTACCAACTATTGCACCCCCCGTTCTTTGCATAAAGTCCGTCAAACTTTTATTACATAGATACAAACATAATACACTCACTCAGACACCCTCTATTTCTCTATCTAACACGCAGACACAGACACGCACAAAAGAATCTTCGAAATAAATAATTAAATTAAAATGTTGTAAAATATTTGCATTGATTTCATTGAATTGGTATAGTGATGATATGAATGCTTTGAAAAGATCGGACACAGATACACTCCCACACAAATGCAAATACAGATACATAATACACACACACACACACAAACACAGAAACACAGATACAGTTTCAGCAAAAGCTTAAAGTTTTCGCCTGTGAATGCCAGACTGGAAAATAAAATTCATAAGAAAACGAAGATAGCCGACATGCCTATACTCTTACTGGATTACTCTTTAGCTCTTAAGCTAATCTTGTTCGAAAATGTGTACAAATCCAGCAAGTGTATAGAAAACTGTCGCATAAAGTCGATTCTCGGTGCAAGGAAAACAATCCCCAGCTTTACTGCCCAGAGACAGCAATTATAACTTTTTCTCTATATATCTAATAAAATATAAAACAGTACAACAATAGTTTAGCAACACTGCAAAATACCTATTGAACCATTTACTACCCTACTGCATGTTTTCCTTTTGCTTACGACTAAATACTAAATACTTATATACTATATGATTCACACTAAGTATTAGAATCGAATACTCCAGACACACACATACAAACCCAGAACACGGACACGCGACCAGCAATTGGTTACAGAAAATACAAAAAAAACAAAAAAAAGAAAAACATTTACTTTTATACCACAAGAAATACTACTCGTACTTATCAAAATTATGATGGATATGGAATTCAAAAATTTTTAATATGCTCTTCATTTTTCTCTTTAATTATTTTTGAACGTATCGCTAAAAACCAAACAAACCAAAAACAAAACCAAATCAAAAAACCTGTTATCACAAAATTCGATTTGAAATTACTTGAAAATTTCCAAACTGTACTCGAACTCGAACTTGAACTCGAAATTTTTGACTCATGCCATGGACAAATCAATCCGAAACCTGAATCGGCCTGAAACATGTAAGTATACGAATGGAGAGAAGAAAACTCATTATTATCGTTATTTGCTTTGGTTGTTGTCGTCATAAATGTGTTCCCAGTTCTGTTCGTTGTGTTTGTGTTCAAATTCTGTTCGACTCGACCAGCAAAATCGAATCAGGATCCTGAATGCTGATTGCTGATTGCTCCCTCTGAGGAAGGACAATAAAAAAACAAAAATATGCATATAATACGCTTCTTTGAACCTTAAACTCTTGTGCTTAGCTCTCTGTCACTGTCTCGCCCGATATGTGTATAATGTAATTATTATTAAAACAAAATTATCTTTTTCGGTTGCATACTCGTATTGACTTGTTTGTGTGCTGTAATGTTTAAGCAGAGCTTCGATCTTCGACAGTCAAATACCTCAACAACAAATGCTCGACAATGTTTTTCCAGTTGTACTTTTTGGTTTCTTTCGATTTTTGATTACATACGTATTTTCGTTTCCATTGAACATTCACCCAACAGTCAACAATTAAACAACTCGTATCTCGTATTTGGAGAAAATGCCAGATACCAAAGCAAATTAAATCAGATCAAGTCAAAAATAAAAAAGAATAATAATCAGAATATGACTCCAATTCCAAGACTCAAACTATTTAAAACAGTTGCGGTAAGTGACTCCGATCTAAAATCTATAACTTCACAATAACGCTCGCTCGCTCGCTCTCTGTCTGTCTCGCTCGCTCGCTCTCTGTTTCTGTCTCTGTCTTGAAACTTTTTTAAATAAAACACACAACCACATATACTACCGTATAGCTTAAAACAACTAACTAAACAAATACCTAATATAGTCCAGCAACTAGAATTTTCATTGCCCGGGCTAGTTGGGCCCTTGGAGAGGTGAACGAGGAATTGGCAGATCCGATTGGCATTGGCTTGTGTTTCGAAAGTCCAAATTATGAATACCATGAACCACTACTGCAAGCGGCTCGAACCAGCCTATGGTCATACATACTATGTTTATATACTCGTACTCGTAGAACTCTGAATCTAATCTAGCTAGAACTTTCATTTGTACGATATGCGAGTATGGTATGCCCCTTCATGTACATAAGAATCCACATCTCTATTTCTCTATATACATACAATATATACATATCTATATATTTACACTCTTTTTTTGGATATGCCTCCGAAACGGGTCCATTAGAACCCCTCAAATTAGTTTCTATTGTACATACAAGATCGGTTCAACTATGCTTGACTTCAAACTATTTTATCTTCTCTATCTATCTTCTCCTAATCTAATACCAATAATGTCTAAGAAACCATTTTTGAAACCAAATATTTTTGCATTTTGTGCAGTCGGTTTTGAGCTGGGTGTTATTAGACGAATACCGTAAACGAGAACAACGACATACGAAACTCAAGAACCCAGAACCCCAAGATTAGATCTTGACTAGACTATAACTCAAAGTAAAGCTGTAAGTTTTGGTATGATTATAAATAAACAATACATAATACACTCGGTACCCAGAATACAGGAAACTTCAACATTTGAACAATATCAATTAGTTTTCTTTCAGTTGAATTATTTTCCTTGGTTCCTTAACTCTTCCTTTGGATATACAATACAATACAATACTCGATACTCTTCTCTCGATACCCCTGTATACTCGTACACGCGTGTATATAGATATATGTTTACGTTTACACTTACCAGAATCGAAGCTCTATGACTATGACGTGCAGTAAATGTTTTAAATGTAATTTTTTGTGGCGTTTTCGTTTTGTGTCGATATAACCATGAACTATTCGTAAACCTTACGTACAAATTGCTTACCAATCAATCAAATAAATATGATATAATATAATATAATATAATATAATATAATATACTGTACTGTACTGTTCACCCCGCCCCCAAATCCGAAGTGTGTTTGATTTATCCTGATTTTCTTGTTTATGAACTGTCTTAATGTTTTGTACCTGATATCCTTGGTTGTTATTACATATATAAATTGATATTGATATTGTGTAACTGTATAAATCTATTTTATATTTTTTGGTATACTCCGAAGTGTATATCTCAACAATTTCAATGCTTCCTATATTCCATGGGTATATCCAAATACCCAAGTATTACGATCCTAAACGGATCTAAAATGAGTTTAATCTTTTAAGTGCAGAATATCTAAGAGCTGCAGTACCCTCTGTTTGAACCCTGCCATAGTGCCGACCCAAACGAATATAGAAACGCATATATAACTTATATATAAACTATACTTTTGTGTGGATATGTATTTAACTGTACCTCTAGTCTTTATGTGACATGTTGCTTGTTGCAAACCGTACCGGCCCCGTAGCGAAACCTACTAATCACAACCCCACTCTCGTTTCTCCTAACTCTTCTTCGGATCTCGCCAAACAGGAAAAGCTGGGAGACATCTGCTTCTCGCTGCGCTACGTCCCGACTGCTGGCAAGCTAACCGTCGTCATACTGGAGGCCAAGAACCTGAAGAAGATGGACGTGGGCGGACTGTCTGGTAATATGGAGTGCTACCGATGCGCTGTCAGGACTGGGGCCAGGGCCAAAGATGTTTTTGTTGGGCTCCCGGCGGTTCTGGCAGCGTTTTTGTTGTTATCTGTTTGTGTAATTACTTAGATGTGTGGAGTTGTACCTCGTTTGGTTTTCCTTTTGAGTTGAATCATTTTCCTTTGATTTTCAAACGTCCAAGGCAATGCAAACGCCAAGGCAACGTTTGCTCGCAGAAAAAAAAAACAACAAAAAAAAACAAAAAAGAAAAAAGAAAAAGTGCTCTGAGAGCCGAGTCCAACCAATTTTATTCCAATCCAACTAATATTTTGTCAACTTTTCAACTATCAAATAGCGCCAACTTTCTCGACTTGCATATTTTCCCGTATTTGTCTTGAATCGCGTACGCTAAAATTCAACTAAATTCATTTACTCTCAAATCAATACAAAAAACCAATACAAATGGATATATTTTCGCCCGGCAACGTTTCCATACCGAAATCTCGCACAGTTTTTACTTACTTGTATGCCTGGCAAACCGAAATAGAACCCAAAATCGAATCAACTAAAGCTCTTTCCGAACCGAAAAGACCTGTCAAAATCTCGCTTGCTTTTAGCTTCACTTTTGCATGTAATCTAACAATTTGAATTCAATATTTTCAACCTAACACTCGACACCGTTTCGGTTCCACACCGAAGAAACAAAACGTTGCCGCTGAATATATCCAAACAATTAAAGTTCTTCTAGGCTTTTACAAACAACAGAACATTTTCCAGTATGTTTTCAAATGCTCGAACATTATTCGGATTCCAAACAAAATTCTTACTAACAAAATTTTTCAAAGAGCAAATATTCTTTTTATATAATTTACAATTAAACACATTTGTATGCCTTGAGTTCCAAGAGTTACTGTTTCAAAAACAAAAACCAGTATACAGTATACAGTATGTAAATGATTTTAAATTTGTGAATTAATTTCCAAAGAGAACGAACGAAAGGAAAACTGTTATTATTCTTCTACTACTATAATTGCAATCCAACGAGACGAGCAATTATCGTTTATGAAATCTGAATAGTGTACGGGTTTTTACTTTGGTTCGTTCCTCTCGTACGAGTTCGTATTATCGTTTTAGTTTTATGTTTGTTTTGTGTTTGCAAAGTAAAAATTTGCCAAAAACCTATTCTATATATAACACGTATATAATTATAATTAACCCAAGTTTTTTGCGTAAATTTCTTATATGTGTGTGTAAAGCAAAAACCATAAAGAAATCAAGAAAATGTGTTCCTCAAATTGTTGCAAAAATTTTACTTTGTTATAAAAACGAAAAAATGTTTTCTTTTTCTTTCTTTCAATTCTTTCCTATATTATAGATCCATATGTGAAAATTGCAATCATGCAAAATGGCAAACGTTTGAAAAAGAAGAAGACAAGTATCAAAAAATGCACCCTCAACCCTTACTATAATGAGTCGTTCTCATTTGAAGTACCATTTGAACAAATACAAGTATGCGAGAATGTATTATACTATCCTATAAAAAACCACAACTACTACTACTACTACTACTACTACTACTACTACTCTACTACAACTACCTATACAAACTTACCTACTACTACTACTACTTATACTGTTACTGCTGTCCTCTTCTGAACTATCTATCATACAAACCAAACCAACCGAGTTTTGAGAACCCAACCTCCCTCTCAACACACACTAGCCTCTTACGTGCAATCGTTGTTGTTACCTATACTATATATACTATATATATATATATATATACGATATATCCATATATTGAATACTTGTATTCCAAAAGACAACAACACCAACTCTAAACAAACAAACCGAACACGTTTAGTGCCAATTCTTTCGTATTACCCATAAAGATATCTATAAACTCCCCCCAAAACAAACTTAACCAAACCAAACCAAAACCTTGTGTTCTATAAGACCTATCAAAAACGTACTCAATGTTCAATGTTGTAATTTAAAATTTAAACCAAAATTTACTAAGCTTTTTTATTTTTTAAACGCTTTTCTTACGGTTGTAAATATTACAAAAACAAAAAACAAAATTATTATCAATCCAGCAACAAAAAATAGAAGAAGCCGGTTGAAAATTTGTTGTTATGCTTTAATTTGAGTAGTTTGGTAAAATGATTTAAAAAAAAAAGCAACTTTTTTGTTAGATTTGTATCAGCCTCGATATGTGCTTAGACCAGCCGATTGGGTTTCTGTTTTAGTTGATAAATGTGTATTTGAAAGACAATCTGGTAAAGGATAATTATAATAGCAAATACAGGCATGCCCTAGGTCTAGGTCTGTTCCAAAAAAAAAGCATTATAGACGCCCAGCCCAACTCGTACACACAGTCCTAGACACACAGTCCAGTTGAATGGAGAGCAAGCAGTAGTGTGCCCGCTTCGGTCTCACGACTCGTGCAGAGCCGCCCTCAGCCAAGCAGCCGAGCATTTTAAGCAGTAAAGCATTCAAGCAGTCTAGCAGTTAAGCATTCAAGCAGTCAAGCAGCCAAGCAAGAATGTGCACGTGCCCACCCACACACTACGCTCACTCCAAGAACAACAAGAAACAAGAATACTTACTTAAACTACTCTTTCCATAATACAAACTATCGCAAACTCCCTAACTCAGCGGCGTCAATAATGCACCACGAAAACACGAAGCGAAGTGGGTACATTATTTTGACACTGTCTTCTGATTTGAATATCGAATACCAATCGCACCACAACAGCTACAGTACAAATACAGAATACACAATAAATACCAAATGCCACCACAGAGAAGTATAGCGTATCCATCACCATAAAAACCAAAGAAAAAACATAATAAATACCACCATAAACCACATCTTGCCAAACAATTTGGAACGATCGAACAGCAAAGTCAAGAGGGAGAACTCTGTTTCGGTTACGTGTGCTTGTGCAAGAATATCAAATCTCCCCCTCTATAAGTAGGACCCCCCATGCTGACAAAAGAAAAACTACGACGAATGGGATTGAATATTATACATTTTCGTTTACACGTATTTAATGAACATTTTTCTTTTTGCCACAGCTTTAATGAAATGCTATCGAGTTTCAAGAAAAGTAATTTGTTCATTAGTCCCCGCCGAGGTTTAAGAAAAGAGAAGAGATATATGTATACTCTTATCTGCCAACAGATATCATCATCGACAAAACAACCGATTCATTTGCTTCTCACCTTACGCTGATCGAAAGCTTTTAGGAATTAGTTTTGAGTTTTCAAATTGTTTGTTGTTTTATGCTGCTCATCCCTAGCTTTAGACATTTGCATGTTCTGCTTGATACCTCACCATCCCACCAAAATACCATACAAGAAAATATACAAAAAATACTCGTATATACTCCACAGCAAACATTTCCGTTTCAAGGAGCTTTTTGTAATGCTTGAAAGCCTTTAGATGTGTTTACAAACAAAATAACCAAAGAACCCAAAGCTTGTGCAAGCCCAAGGTCATCGAATGAAGATCGAAGATGAATCGCATCGCCCACCGAATGATCTCAACGATCCCAAGAGAACTTCTGAAAGTCTGAAGTAGCCTGCACCATATCTTATATATACAATATACAGCACTCAACCGCCAAGCAATACTCCACGTAGATAAGACCTTTGTCTATAACTTCTATAGCTTCCCAAAACAGCATTTTGTAGTGTCTGCCTGTTAACCAAACAACAGATCCCACTGCTCCCCAGTCCAGCCCAGCCCCAACCAACCAAAACCAAACAGAACACGTATATCGAAAATAACAAAAAGTTCTTCTAATCAAAAGCGAAAACCCCACCCCACTCAGAAAAAGAGACCGTTGAAGCAGCTCAAAGCCAATTACTCAATACTAATGCGAACACTTTCCCCTTGAACACTTTCCGCTAACACTTGAATATAGAAAATCTGTCTCGTTGTGACCGTTGTGGACTACGATCGTATTGGTACCTCTGAGCCCATAGGACGCTGCATACTCGGCTGTATGGGAACCGGAACTGAGCTGCGCCACTGGTCGGACATGTTGGCCTCCCCGCGTCGACCCATTGCCCAGTGGCACACACTCAAGGACCCCGAGGAGACCGACGAGATACTGAAGAACATGAAGTAAAGCGCTACATGGCCATGGCTGACAAATGCAGGTGGGCTGACTATTCACATTGTACACAACATTGTACAAAGGGCAGCCCAAAGGGGCTGCCAATCCCATAAAGTATTTACTCTTGATCAGAATGAACAGCTACTTTTTCCAATTAAAGACTTACAGCACATCTATCAAACGTATGAAAATAACCAAAGAAACCACATAAGAAAGCCGTCAAGCATAGAAATCGATGCATCATCAGCTCTAACTGATCTAACAGATCCTCCTGATCCTCACCCGGAACGACAAACAACAATCAAATGAAATATCGTAGTTAAAGCAAATTGTTCATCTATGCAGTTAACCCACACATACAAAAAAAAAAACAACACACACACATACACACAGGAATCAAAGCCGATTTAATGATAACTTTAGGAATATAAGGTATATCTCATTGGTTGAACAGGAAAATGAAATGAAAACATAAAACTAATGAAATGTTTCCAGTAACCGAAATGATTTGGCTTGGACACAGTTATATATTCGTGCGAGTGTTCATTTCCAGATCTACTACTCGCAGGACCTTATTGTTGTCACTGATTGCGATTTTTCCAAATAAATTAACGCTAAAATGAATACAGAAATGTTCTACATACTCAGCGTATGGACGTATGGATAAATTAATTAAACAAAACGGAAGTTGTGGGGTATCATTTTAAAAGTTAAGTTTCATTCGATTTTAAATTAGTCCAGCGACAAAGTGTCGGAATCTAACCAGTTTTCACTTTGCTTTTCAACTGTTGAAGGATTACTAGCGAATAATATTACTAATGAACATAAACAAAGGCATCACAACTGTTATGTAAATTATTTATTATGTTTAAATTATGAGAATGTACTTAACTGTGTAAGTATAAATCAACATATATGGATAATAGACAAAGAAGCAACACATGACAGACATATGAAACAGAAACAGAGGAAGGAAAGCAGAATCATAAATTATATATATTATACATATATAAATATTATGTAACCCTTGCATAGACTAATGTTATGTATGTATACACAGATCTGAGTTTTGAAGACCTAACAAAATCAGACGTATATTCGTAAGTAGAGAGGAAGCCCCAAAACCAAAAGCAAATAACAAAAGTTAAACTTTAAAGCGTGATTTCAATGGAATATATCATCAGTTTAATCTTTACAAAATATCGAACATTTTGCACCGTGGATCAGATTGGAATCTTTGTTTTGTGTTTATTTATATTAAAGAATGTTAGGTAAGAAGAAGTACTATATTACGGCTCAGTTTTTTTTTAGGGAAAACTCATTTTCTAACGCGAACTTTTAACCTTTTTTATTTGTGGATCTCCTGATTAAAATCTTCATTTATTTTCGACTAGAATCTATCCCTTTGTTGCTCCTTCGACTCAAGTCTTGAGGTTTCTACATTTCTTCGTTTTGGACTCTACCACACTCAATAATTTAGAAATCATTATAGGACCTAATGAAAATATACATACTAACTAAATGATTATGGCAAAATGTTAAAACAGAAAAAGAAATATTAAGAACAATAATAGTTATTACTATTTATATTATATTCAAGTATATATATACGACATCTAAACAATATACATTTATATATACTTATATAACATAGTGCTCTTGCTGCACAAGCCTACTAAGAAATCGGATCTTTTAATATGGCCCGCAAAAAGAACTTCTATCTTCCTATAGAAACAGTCTCAGAGTTGAATAGGAGGCAAGGGCAGCGCGTTTCCAAGGGGAAAGTCGGGTATAAATTGAAAAATTAAAAGTGAGAAAAGAGAATAGGATGAGCCATAATTTTCTGATTTTTTCCATATTGAAAGTAATGAAATTCCACTAATAAATTAGATGTTTTTTGTCCTGTAAATGGTATATTATGTAATGGTAATGATAATGCGTAGTTAGGGATCGGTGTATCCCCTGTACACACACCTACACAGTTGTAGTTATGTTCACCGAAACAGCCAGAGATGCATACAAAATATGAGTGCACACAAGATGCAAATGCAAATAACAAATATTTATGTAATATAATTCATCTAAATTAAAAAAAAAAAAACAAAACAAAAAAAAAACAAGTCGAAAAAGAACTCGAAATGGGGGACAAAGCTCGATGGAAGACAGGAAAAACAGATCTATAAGAAATTACGAGCATTCTTCAATACAAAAATTAAACAAAATAAAGTACTTTGCTTTTCCAAATAGTTACTGTAAATTATCTCAAAACCCAAGAACAAAGACACAAAGACACGAAATAAATCTTAAATAACAACAAATTAACATAACCTAATCACAAAAACAAAGACAACAACAACAACAACAACAACAAAGAGAAACAAACTATATATACTTGCGTATTTAAACAAATTATATGAAATTATATGAAATGATGTTGATTATTGATTTAAATTTAAACTGAGAAAGTGAATAAAACAAATTATATATACACCTATATATATATATATATATATATATACATACATATATATAATATTAAACCAGACAAAAGCAGAAAAGTTCATTTGTGTTTTCCTTCAGTTTCAGTATCTTTAGTTAAACAGCGTTACACTGGGCCACACACAGAACCCCCTTGAGAGAAGAATGTAAGTGTGAGCCCCTCTAAAATCCGGATGTACATACATACATACATACATACACAGAGACACAGACGCAAACACAGATACACACACAGACACACAGTAAAACTGACCACACGAACTGACCAAAAAGCAAGTCGTACACTTAAATGTATTATAAAGTTAGTTATACAACAATATCTGTATCTGTATATGTATATGTACTTGTACTATTATTTCCTAAAGTCGAAAGCAGAGATATTCGAAAGATACGTTTTCAAAGCAGCATTCAAAAGCAGCGCAAAGCCATCACGAAAAGCACAAATCAGTAGGAAAGGCGAAATGACGCCAAACAAAACAAAACAAAAACAAAAAATAATATTAAATAGGTAACAATAACATAAAGACGATGGAAGCAAGATGAAGCCATAAAGATAATGTAGCAGTCCATGTATGTATGTATCTTTATTTTATAGATATGTATGTATGTAATTTCTATCGATAAATCAGGCATAAATGCATTTAGAAACCAGAGAAGAGCATCCGAACAACCGATCTACCAGTATAGCAGTGCGAGATTTGAAACGGCGGAAACCTGAAACAAATCTTGATTGGAAGAGATCGATGTCATCACAAAGGGTATTCACTATAGTGTTATGCATGCGTATACATATGTGTATATGTATGTGTGTAGGGCGCACGATCGAGAGGTTCTGGACAGTCGGTGTCTGTGTAGAGAAATGAATAGCGACAAATACAAGATATAGAAATATGCGTTAAAGGTACAAGCCACCTAAAATATAGGACAATGTTTGATGTTGATATGAGTTAATCTGGCCACATAGCGTGCGCATTATATGCATATACGAGTATACATACATATACATACATACAACTCGAGTACAATCCCAGGAGCAGAATCATTTTATATGCCAGGTATGCCCGGTATGCCCGGTATGCCCGGTATGCCCGGTATCCTAGGCGAGCTGGGAAGTACCCTAGACATTTATACATAACCATCAAGAGCACCGCATAGTATGAAGATACCATACGATATATAAATAATTACATAAATAAACAATATACATGCATACGAACGGCATCCATACTCCATCTGGGAGTAGCGATGGAGTAGCCATCTCTCAGTTCAGAATCTACAATACCTACACTCACTCAGCACCATACCACTCGCGGATATCATTTTATGACTCTTTCCGGAGTTTTGTTGTTTATGATAAACTGTTTATAGATGTTTTTGAATTTTAAATAAATTATATTTACTATATGGCAAAGGCAAATAATACCTAATACCTAAACAAAAATAAAAACAAAAACAAAACCATATGCGTGCGAAGCCATATATGATAGTAATGTATGTATGTATGTTTTAAATGCTAATACAAACGAATCTTGAATTGAGGCTTTGCGGGAAGCGTCGAACGAATGAATATTACTGAATAAACTGCATATATAAACATACGATAATGCAACTGTATTGCAAGACAAGTATATCATTTTATTTCAAAGGCAAATGAATTTAACACAGGCCAACACGCCCCCCCCAGACACACCCCCCATATAGATACACACACTCCTATATAGGGTAAGCGGTAAGCGGCAGATCGACTGATCGATCACACACGGTTCCAGCAGTCGCGCCGTGTCACGATCCATTGCAAATACCAATGTAACCCACACACACGAAACTCAAGAACTAACATATGTGAAATGAAACGAGGAATGTTTATAAACAATAAACAAATGTTTGAAAACTATTAACAGTGGCCTTTAATTCCACTTCGTTTCACCAGCTTTTCTCAGCTCTTCGGTATCGTATCTGGTTACATTCCCGATCTTGCAGTCTTTTTTTGCTGACACATTAGCTATAAAACGCGTCGCACTGGACAGCTGTATATTGGGCCCCCCATTCTGGGAGTCAGTGCATAGGCTTAAGCCAAAGGAATCGGTCATAGAGCGAGAAAATTAAGCCAACAAAATCTTCGGGAAATATATTACAGCTTCATTTTTGGCTTATCAAATCAATACTTTGGTAAACCTAATACATTTAGTTATGGGATTAGGATTACTATACCTCTTCGCTCCTCTTATCGACAAATCTTGTGATGGAAAACCACAGCTCACGTACACATCCTTATTATCTATGCGGCTTATGCTGACGATGATAAATAAGACTTATTAGAAGCCGTCTGTGTGCTACCCGGAATATGTGTCTTTGATAAGTAGAGCCCTTCGCATATCGTATATTATAGTAATGAGATTCGAAGTCACACGAACGGCGACGCCTCGAGCGATTTTAGTATGGTATTCCACTAAAGAACTAAACAGTGGTCTGTGTGTACTTGTACGAAACAGGACCCTAACTCGTAGCTGATTTGAAAGTGCATATATCAAAAATGTTTTTCTAATTGTTCCCTTTTTTGTTTCATAAATAATTTCCTCTGGAATTTATTTTAATGTGTTTCATTTTGTTTGAAGTGAGCTTCCTTCCGTTCCCTTCCATTAGCATCCCAGTGGAATCCCTTTCGTTCGGGAATGTGCATATGTACGTTCATAAGTATTCAGGCTCTGAGCAGTATTCAGTGAAGTGTCATTTTGAGAAATGCATTGGCTAAGTGAAATCGAAGTAGGTCAGGGCACTATTTAATTCCTGGTCGGCACTTCAGATCCATACATTCACGACACAATTACAGCTCGTGCTAAAACAAAAATAAAACTGGACTACAATGACACGATTCCAGAATTGTGAGCAGGAATTGCAACGGCTTGAGGCAGAAGTGCGTACAGTCCGCATTTTAATACTGGGTGACCCAGGTGAGAGTCGATGAATTGAGATACATATAACAGCAGCTTAACAGTTAAACAAATCTGTAGGAGTTGGAAAGTCATGTTTGACCAACTTACTGGCTAGCAGCGCGATCACGCCAACACGCTCCTCCAGAACCGTTGCCAACAGAGAATGGACCGTCCAAGCGCGTCTGCACGAGTACCCCATCATGGGACATCTGCCACTCACTCCAGAGTGGACGTCGCCCTCCTCTTCGGAGCGCTCAAACCAATGGATGTTCCCCAGAGAACCGCCACCAGCTTCTAGTGTGATATATTTCGTAGAGTTCTACGATAAGAACAGCTCAGTCAGCAAGAGTCGAGTGGACAGACATCCCTTGTACAAGAATATGGACGGAATCGTCTTGGTTTATAATATGAAGGACATGGAATCCCAGGATCATTTGCACGACTGGATATACGGCCCACTAATCGAGATAAGCCAGCACCGGCACAAAAAACGCAAACGTATATTAGACCGTCATCATGTGCCCATCCTAGTCGTGGGCACCATGTTGGATACGCTGCGCACGCGCCCACTACGACGCTTTGGAACCATTGCTCATCAATTGGGGGCTGAGGAGATATTCCTTAATTGCCTGAATCCAGACTTAATGGCTGAAAAAACCCGCAACTACGGAAAAGTGTGCCAATTCTTGAACAGAGCCGTCGACTTTAAGATGTGTAACTCCAAATGAATACTTTACGTCAAATATGTATGCCATAATATATATATATATATTTGGAAGATTTTATCGCCTATGGGGAGAGGTTCTTAGCCAGGGGGCCACTGCAATTGACGACCGCCGAGGAAATGCAAGTGCAAATGGTACACCGACTGCGCTCCATGTTGGCCATTGTTGATGACCACGCGATAGCCCTTCTCCAGGCCGAGGTCTTTGGCCACCTTGCGGCCCACGAGCATGAGGTGACCAAGCAGTTCACCATCGCCATCTTCCGCCAGGGAGAGCTGGGCAATTGGTTTTCTTGGAATCACAAGAAAATGAGTGGGAGCCTGGGGAGCCACATCATGGAAAGCCACGCACTAGGGACGTACATGTGTATGTATGAATGCCGATTATTATTTATGTAAGAGGAATAGGAATAGGTCTGAACTTTGTCCCCAAACTTACCTTGTCATCCTCGTGGATAAAGTTGCATGGTATCTCCTTTCGTAAAATCTTGCCAAAAATTGTGTCTTCGCCTGGAGCAGCCGTTTGCGCCTTATCTACCTCGCTCGCCATTCTAGCGAAAGTTGTAGCAAAAGACCGGGAACTGCAACTTAAAACACGAACAAAATTCATCAAAGGGCGGACTGCCAACTGGTGGCAATTACCAACGCACTAGGGATTTTTTGTGGACTGCCAACTGGTGGCAATTACCAACGCACTAGGGATTTTTTGGTGCAATTTGCTCGATATATCGATATATTGATATATCGATAGATTTATAATCATCGGTGTAAACCATCGATATAAAACCATCGGTATTAATTTTTTAATCAATAACGTAATCGATATTGAGAAACTGCCACCACCAGCGATCAGCTGTCGCGACTATCGAAGCAGTGCCATCTCAATTGGATTTGTGGGGGGGGGAGATTTTCCCGTGGACGGCCAGCGGCGCCCGTTGGCGCTTTTGTGGCCCCCCCAGACCACCCGGAGCAACAGTCCGACCACAGAGAAGACCCACACTGGCTACCGGCAACACCGGCAATCTTCCTAAAGCCAGCTGAGCAGTCAATGTGGCTCATCCAACTGGCATCCGACCCTGGAGTTGGGCGGCAAGTCGCCCAACATTATCCTCTCTGACACGGACCGGACTACGCCGTGGAGACAGCCCATTTCGGCCTCTTCTTCAACATGGGCCAGTGCTGCTGTGCCGGCTCTCGCACCTTTGTGGAGGATCCCCAGATCAACCAGGAGCAGATGGATAAGATCCTTGGCATGATCCAGCAGGGCGCCAATCTGGTGGCCGGCGGTAGCCGTCTCGAATGCCTTCCCGGCTACTTTGCCCGCGAGAAGATATTCGGGCCCGTCAAGCAGCTGATTCGATTCAAGAAGCTCGACGGGGTCATCGAACGTGCCAACAACTCGGAGTACGACCTTGCCGCCGCTCTCTTCACCAAGGATCTGGACTATGCCAACTAAATTGTCGGTTGCCTGCGTGCCGGCACTACAATGCCCTGGCTGGCCAGGCTTCCTTCGGACGAGAACGGGGACGAGAACCCTGTCCTGGACAGGGACATTAGCCTTAAGATTCGGATAGTCCGCCCATCATTAGTATTTAAAATCACCTGATTTATATATATATATGTATATCTAATTATATATAACGGTTACAATGCCTACCACGCGGGAAAAATATTGTATTGCAGCCCGTACGTCGGTGAATTTATCCGCATCTGTAACGTGGATAAATTTAAGAATATCGTACACATGGGAGGTGAGGATGAATCCACGCAGCTCGAGATCGGAGCTATTGACTCTGCTCAAGTTAAGAGGTGTAGACGATTTCGCGAAGTTCAGCGCCAATAGCTTTTTTAAGTTTAAAACTTCGTTTGAATTAAACTCCTCTAGTTCATTGGGCGTGCTGCTGGTTATTTCTGAAAACTTCTGTTTCCATGTGTTTCGGTCAAAGGTGCTTCCGTAGATTTTGCCTAATCTATCCACCGTATCTTTATACCGCGTGACCAATTTCTTCTTCATATGGACCTCGTCCCACAGGACCGGGAAATAGTTTGCGACATACTGCAGCGACTTCAAATTGGCCCTGCACCTGTCCGATATTACGCCGCACACATTTTGGGCCAAGCCCAGGTTGAGAATTGAAGTGACTACGACTTTTAGTCCTTCATATATCTCATTGCTGCCCAAAACGTGCACGTCTGTAGGGACCACCTGCAGGTACAGAAACTTGAATCTTGTGCCGTCCATATTTGCAGCTGCAATGGCCAAAGACTTCCAGCGGCTGAGGAGCACCTGTAAATATACTACTTAATATGATATAAAGAGACGGTTAAAAGGGAACTTACGTTGGGTACGTGCCTGAAATGAAACTCATCGAAAATGAGGACAAAAGGCTGCTCCCCGAAAAATTGCAAGTTTGACACCATGTTGATAAGCCCACAGTTCAGCTCTATCAAGTGGGACTGCCGCTCCACGTATCTGATGGCTCGCCGCACATCGCGTCCACGGGCAGCCAACAGCGGGTGGCGTATGAAAACCTCTTCCAAGTTCATTTTACACCCGACTTAAGTGAACGCGGTCGCAGTCTAGTTGGAAATGGCGACAGTCAAAGTGTAGGTGTTCGTCTGGTCAAATCCCGAGGCGGCTCACAGTGGGCCGAAAACGGTCAAGGCGAAAGGCGTCCTCGTCGCCCTCGTCGGCTGCGCAGCAAGCTGGGAACGCCGCAATGGTGAATGGGACAAAAGTGGAGCAGAAGACGCCGTCAAATGCAGGCAGTGTCGTGGAGGATGCCCCCCATGGATATGCCTTCAGTGAGGATGCCCCTAATGAGGATGGACCTAATGAGGATGCACCTTCGGAGGATGCCCCTAATGAGGATGCCCCTAATGAGGATGCACTTTGGGAGTATGCCCCTAATGAGGATGCACTTTGGGAGTATGCCCCTAATGAGGATGCCCCTAATGAGGATGCACCTTCGGAGGATGCCCCTAATGAGGATGCACTTTGGGAGTATGCCCCTAATGAGGATGCACCTTGGGAGTATGCCCCTAGTGAGGATGCACCTTGGGAGTATGCCCCTAGTGAGGATGCACCGGCTCCGACTTCGTCGCTTTTCAGCTTTTGCGCCTTTCCACCGACTGAAAACACTGGGAAGCCAAAGATGCCCGTGGGGTGCCGGCCAATCCAGGCGCATACCCCCTCGTTTGCGCCCAGCAGCGTATTTGGGGCTATAACGGCGGCACCTTCCTCCAACCGCTACAGTGCAGTGTATGAAGTGAATCAGCCCTTTGCGACCAACACGGCTGCCGTCATTTTAAGGGAAGTTGGGGCGACGGCGCTGCTGAAGCGCGTGGGCCGACCGGAGCCTCTGACTCCGAATCTAAGAAGAATTGCCATAAATACCATCGCCGACTATTTCGTTAAGAAAGAATTTCCACTGTCGATAAGCAAAAGCCGGAATTTGGATAGAGAACTCTTGAGTCTTTTTCCCGGGGATCAGGAAAGCGACTACAAAGTGAGCGATCGGAGCCGAATGTATGTCAGGTACAACAACAGGAAGCGTCTAGAAAAGCACCATGCTAATGTACGACGTAAGCTCATCTGGACCCCAACGACCAATGAACCATTTTCGCCGGAGACATCGGTGGCCTCATGGTCCCAGACACTGCCGGTTGAATTTGACGACGTGCCAGACAATACGGAGTAGAACCAAAAAAATGGATTTTTCTGAAGAATCCTCGTTTAATTTCATTAATATTTCTATCAACATAAGACTTTTTATTTTCAACTTACAAAATTCCTAAAATATATATGTATATCGCCGTAGTGTCCTGATTTTCATAGTTCAATGTGAGGGGATATGGTCCCCCAGCAATGGCAATGCGTATTCTGGCTGCTTTTTTGCCTGTGCAGTGCCCCTTAGTTAGTGGCAGGTACTCATTGCAAGGTCTACATATCTCTTTTGGCTGCGGGGAGTCTAGCGTATACTGTCTGGACAACTTCTATGCCCCTGCGCGGGATAAGCTGCCGCGCTTGCTGGAGTATAGCGATCATCGTGCCCCGTCACTGGTGGCACTATGTGGAGGCGACGGAGACATCGCTCAGTCTCAACTACTGGGTGCCTCTCAAGGACGACATGGACCTGGCCCTGGACGAGTTTCTGGTCAACCACATTGTCGAGAGCTTTGTCAAGGGCGAAAGTGAACAGACGAAGCAGTATCTACTGAATCCCAATCAACTGGAGGACATATCCTCGACGCCCAGCGAACTGTTTGCCCAGTTCCAGCAGGCCGTACAGAATGCCGAGAGCGAGGAGCACAAACGGAAGCTGTGGTAAACCGATTACTTGACTCAATCCAAATTTAGGGAGCTCCTTGCTAGAGTGCGTCTCACCGTTCGGCACCTGGAGGTGATGCCCAAGGAGGAATACAAGCTCTTGCTGGAGTTCAACTCGAAGCGGCTGCAAACAGAGACGAGAACTGCTACTGAGAGTTTGCCGATCAGCTCCACATTGGAACTGCTCATCAGCAGTATGTGTGCCCCACGCACCATTGCGGGCATGAAACGAGAGTTCTTTCGGAGACTATATACGTGATATTTTTGTTGCATATATGAGATTAAAATCCAAGAAGCCATCAACATGTATGATACAATTGTAAGCAAACGAACGAAAGCCGGAACAGAAACAAAACACAGAGCATTAAATGCCATGACCACCAATCGCCGCTTCTCTACGATCCGGAACTCAACGAAGAGGCCTTGGTTAAACCACAGTGTGGGTATAAATACGGGTGGGATGCGGTTTACCATCCTGGTGGCTTCTGGTTGGGATAGCCGCCTTGCTGTTGGGGAGCATAACTGCCAGGATAGGTGCCATAGTGCCCAGGTGGTGGTCCTTGTGGATAGCGGGGGGCTATACTGACAATCTGCAAATGAAAAGCATTCGCCTGGATACGGCATATTGGCAGCAGCTGCCGCAGCCGGTGCGCTGGGAGCAGAGCCAGCTGGATTGGATGGAATGTCTGGCGGATGGGGGCGAAAAAACAAAATTATGTATTATCAAACTTTGTTAGGGAATGACTGTACCTACCGCTGCCACTACCCGAGGTGGAGGCAACAACAACAACAGAACTCAATTCAAGAAAGATTCAAGAACCAGTAGCACCGTCCCATCCACAACTATAAGAACACACTGTTTAATACAAAATATACCACACGGAGGAGGAGCAAAGAGAAGGATTTTCAACATCGGAGTCCCGGACAAGCATGCAGCACGTGAGCGCTGCCAGCTCGGTGCCATCAGTTGTAGCCCCGGTCGTGACCACTGGTGGAACCACCATCACCCTCGGCGGACCGCCGCCCTTGCCTAAATCTGAGAACAAAGAGGATGGCAAACCGCCGCACGGCATAGAAATGTACAAGGCTAACATTGAGGATATCTCCCAGCTGTTTACATACCACGAGGTCTTTGGAAAGATCCACGGCGATGTGGTCAATCATCAGCTGGCGGCGGCGCATGGCGGGCAACTGCCGCCGCCACCACCCCTGCCACCGCAGACGCATGCCGTGAGTGCAGCGGCAGCAGCGGCTGCAGCATCCACCAATAATGCCGCTGTGGCGGCTGTAATGGCATCAGCGAATGCTGCTGCAGCAGCAGCGGCGGCGGGAGGCAACGGCCTGCCGGTGGCGACGAGCTCCGGCGGCCAGCAGGGCAGCGCTACGGTGACCACGACCAGTTCGACGGCGAGCAGTGGCAGCGGCAACAGCGGTAGCGGGGGCACCACAACCACGGCGGGTGAGTTGCTTATGCCTAAAATGGAGGGCGGCATTCATGGCGTGGACGGGCAGTCGACCGTGGCGCTGGCCCCAGACGGGACGCCCATTGCGACGGGGACCCATGTGTGCGACATTTTTGGCAAGATGTTCCAGTTTCGGTATCAGCTGATCGTGCACCGTCGCTACCACAGCGAACGCAAGCCGTTCATGTGTCAGGTGTGCGGACAGGGTTTCACCACGTCGCAGGACCTGACACGCCATGGGAAGATCCACATCGGTGGCCCCATGTTCACCTGCATCGTGTGCTTCAATGTGTTTGCCAACAACACCAGTCTGGAGCGGCATATGAAACGTCATTTTCATATATATTAATCAAAATGTTGGGAATTTATTAGTATGTATGTATTTGTACGTCTTATTCCTAAGAAACCAATGGTTCAATGTAGATAGTATATATTAAAGTACAACTCTTCGCTTAATGCTTGAACAATAAACTAAACAAAGTATTGGGGCTTCCGCATGGTTATGCCGTGGTCAGCCAGAGCTGGAACCAAATCTTCCATGGCCAATGTGTATTTGCGATCCTTGGGGTTCTTCTTGTCCTTGCTGGAGCTGTGTCCACTGGAGTGCTGAATGTTGGTGGTGCGGGTCTTGCAGTGCTGCAGTGCATCATTGGCGATATCCGATATGAACTTTTGCGCCGATACAGACACCAAACGCACAATCTCTGGGTCCACCTTTGAGAACCCAGCCTGCAGTCACAAAAATAGGGTCAAGAAATAGTATAGTGCACCCTTCATTCAATACGTACAGATTTGAGTATGTTGACCGTTAGGGCGTCGGGTAGCGTAGGAGTGTAATCCTCTAGCTGTCGGAGAAGCTCATCCACATCAGCATCTTCGGACGAGGCTGGCGCCTCCTCCACTTCCAAGTCTTCCTCATCCGTTTCCTGATCAGAGTGCTGCTGAGGGCTTAACGGGTGCTCCTCATCCTCCGTGTCGGTTGCCAGGGACTCTGTAGGTGTTAGATTCACATCCTCTCCATCTGAAGCCATAATAAGTTGATATTTTTTGTGTGTAACAATAACAGCTGCTGCTGGAACAACCGAGTGGAAGAAACGAGTGAAACAACGAGACCCGCAGCGCCACCATCCGTGACTGCGTTGACATTCTTCGATCTTGATATTCGGCATATCTATTAGAAATCCAATAAAAGCAATTATTTAAAGTAAGCCAATTAAGTAGAAAAATTATTAATGAATCGTATAAAACTATGTGGGCATGGCTAAATATGCTATATAGCAGAGAATATTCCACGGAATATCAAAAACGAGGAATATGAACTTGAATTCGTCAGTATATTTACGGTATATTTTTTAAATGAGACAGTATGTTTCGGTATATTTCTATTGAGTCAGTCACACTGTTGTTTTGTGTTGTTTTTACATATTTTTCTTGATAATGGTCGGATCCAATTTTGGTATAATCTACGGCCTGACGGGCCCTTCAAACCAAGGAGCCTCCTCAGCTGGACAGGGCGGAGCAGGCATGGCTGCTGGTGGAGGAAGCGCAGACCGCGACCGCCTTACTACCGCGGCCCATCTCAGCGACTTCATGTTGCAGCTGGAAGACTACACGCCGTTGATTCCCGATGCCGTGACAGCGCATTATTTGAATTTAGGTGGATTCCAGGCGGACGACAAACGGATTGTGCGTCTCATTAGCATTGCAGCTCAGAAATACATGTCGGAGATCATGGACGATGCTCTGCAGCACTCCAAAGCGCGTACGCATTTGCAAACCACCAACACACCTGGCGGATCAAAGGTAACGGATGAAATTTTCTAACGAACTGAGTTAAAACATATCCGTCCCTTACAGGCCAAGGATCGCAAGTTTACATTGACCATGGAAGATCTGCAACCAGCGCTGGCCGACTACGGAATCAATGTTCGCAAAATGGACTATAGCCAGTAGATCTCTGCACACTCTGTAAATTCTCTCATCTAGTTTTTAGTTTATTCAAAAGTCGGGCAAAACGATTATTGTTCAATTATAAATATCCAGACACTAACATCTAAGTGGTTAATACTAAAATTTTGTTCATTGGCATGTTACGAATTTCTTGAAACTGCGCGAGGTTCCGCCCGCCACTCGGAATGCCAGAAGTCCCGTGAGAATGGTGATTATATAGTTGGTCAGCAAAGTAGCCGTGTATAACTCACTGGCATTGAGGAGGGTCAGGAGAGATACGAACAGATGGCTGCCCACTACGTAGGCAATGTGCAGATAGTTGTTCGTGTCGCAGGCGTTGAAAAAGATCACGCTCCAGAAGGTGTGCAGCAGTATGATGGACAGTGCCTGAGCTGCTGAGGTGACAAAGAATAACTCAGTGCCACTCTGGAGGCCCATGGTTCCGGGTCCGCTCTGTTCAAATATAGGTTCATTAGCAAACTAAAGCCACCGTCTCTTGGGCAAACCTCAGTCATACTCACCATATCAGCCAGAACATTGACCAGCGCAAACATTCCGGATATGATTCCGAATCCTAGGCCGGAGACATACGACAGAATATGCTTGTTGTCCGTCACTCTGGTGTCCTCGGCCACGGCTTGCAAGCCCTGTTCCGTGCTGCGTAAAATGCGATAAATGATATACCGGAAGCATTCCTGAAAGACCACCGAGAAGAACACCCCGAATGCCAGGACATCGCGCAGCGGAATCATGGCAAACCACAGCAGCGACGAGAGCAACAGGGACAGCAGCCAGAAAAATGCCGCTGCAATAAGTATGATGATGCGCAGCGGATCATTGGCGATGGTGAAGACGAACAGCGCGAATGGAGGACCAAATGCAATAAAAGTGCAGCCGAAGAACTCGGGCAGAGTCATCTTTTCTGATTTGCTTTACTTGTGTGTATTGAATATTTTTCTCCCCGTCTGTGGGTGTTTTGGTTTTTGGCAGCAAGAGGAAGCAGAGACAGACTATTCCCAAGCGCTGCCAGAGGGCTAGACTGCGTCCGAGGTTGCCGGACTTGACTGCCTGTAATATTATCATACCCTACACAATGACGGTTGATACGACTTTAGATGAATTATGTTCAGGAATCCTAAAAAACGATTGCTTGATGATTGATGATGATGTATCATTAAGTAATGCCTGCAAATATATGCAGCTCATTCGGTGCGCTTCATAAACAGAAGATCTGACCTAAGCTCATTCTGACCAAACCTCCCACGCCCTAGAGTGCGTTCGTAGTCGACTATGAGCGTTTCTCTGGCACTAAGACAAAGGCGGCCCACTTTCCGCTCCGCTCTCTGCCAGCATTTTGTTTGGGGCGGGATTAGTCATTGCAATATTGAGTCAATCATCACAGCTGCATTCTCCCGCACACACTATGCAGTCTAAGTAATATTCCATAACCAGAAGCGATTCGCACCAGCACAGCTGCGGGCAATACTCTTCTGTTCCCATTTCTGAGAGTAAGCAAAACTGCAATTGGCAGACAACTGTAGCAGACGAGAGCTCACCTTTGATTTCTTTCTTCAGTGCATGCTGTGATGGCGAAACGTCTTCTCCCCCATGAACCCTCGTTCGAGGGGCCTGGTCCCGATGAGCTCGACAGCCCAGCCATAGAGGCGGCGGCCCTAGACATTCCGTCGCAAGTAACAGATAGGACACTTCAAAAAGGTTTGACGCTAATTGGTGCACACTAAGCAGTGGGTCCGGTCTGACAAATGAAGTTTTCCGCAGGTTTCTGGGAGCGCCCCACATCGTCCACCACGTATGAGCCACCCAGCGAAGGAACTGTGCTGCGGTTTGACATTCTGCTCGCCCACATCATGCCCCCAGACGGGGAGGATGTGAAAATCAAGCGTTATGTGGTCTACGAGGTCACCGTGCGCCAAGACGGCACCGAAGAAGACGCCCAGCCAGCAAAGATCGAGCGTCGCTATACGGATTTTCGTGAGCTGTATCTTTGCCTGAAGCGCCAGCACCCCGCTGAGATGGCGAACATGTACTTCCCCAACAAAGTGCTCATGGGCAACTTCAAGTCCGAGTTGATTGGTGAACGCAGCGCTGCCTTTGAGCAGTTCCTTACGTTCGTGGCCAGCCACTCCAAACTGCGCGATTCGGACGACTTTCTGCACTTTCTGCAGAACGACGAGCTGTCCCGTGCATGCCAGTTCTTGGACGAGCGTCGCCACGAGAACGCCATTCCCATACTCGAGAACTGTTTTCGTCTGCTGAACAAGATCTACATGAATCGCGCACGCCCAGTACTTCTGATACTCTGCCGCCTGGTGGCAGCCTGCACGTCTTCTCCAGTGCCCCACCACTCCGCCGAGCGCTGGGCTCTATTGGCCCTGGGTCGCTTTGAGACTGTAAGCGATATTGATCTACTGCCGCTCTATATTCCCCTGCTCCACACCTGTGCTCATCTGTGGTAAGTGCCAGAAGCTGCGAAATCATATGCCCCACTCTAAACTGTACTTCTCGTTGCAGGTGGCAGCGCGGGCAGGACCAAAAACCCATCACCGACCGGCTAACGGACATGTCCAAGCAGGGCATCAACACGGCTCAAACCGCCAGCCTCATGCAGGCTATACACAAGATCGATCCGCGAACCGAAACCATTTAAATCTCCACTAGATTATGCCCAAATTATGATCGGCATTCCGTAGCGTATCTGCTAAGCGAAAAGTGCAATTAGGCAACTTGTGCAAATAGTGTTAAGCGTAAAATGATTCGCTAAAACGTAGTTTTCGCACGTCAATGTCTTATATACGTACATACATATGTATTTGTGCATCCATCTTTGTTGTTTTGTCCCAAGAGGAGTTGTGTGAGCTTCAAGTCCGTTTAACCACTAGATCGGAATTGTAATGGCGTCCAAATGTTGGTGACCCGTAGAAGGAGACATTTCCAGTCTGGTGGCCTCGTATCAGAATATCGCGTTCGTATCACCTCATACGAACGATTACAATATCATATCTATGTATGTCATTTAACGCACAGCTCCCATAATTATTTATTTGTTTGTGCCGTTGGCCTAGCCTTAATGAATTGTGAATAAATACCATACTCAACCGTTTTGTCATTGAACTTTGCTTGGTTTGTATTTTACGGTTGGTTTTTCTTTGTTTTTAGAGTTTTAGAGTTTTAGAGTCATTGGGGGCAGAACTTTAATTCTAAGAGTGCACTAATTAGTAATATGCTTAATTCTAGGGGTTGTGAGGATCTCGTGACCGCACTCAGAATTATCAAATTTTGTTTTAAAAGTTTATAAATTATAACTTAAGACGTCAAATAATTGATTCAACTATAATAAAGATAGAAGGGTAAGTGCGTTTTCAACAAATTGTTTGCAGCAGTTGGCACTGCGCTACCGCCCATCCTAATATACATACATCATTTGAAATGTACACTTCATTACCATCATTGCCATTGCTTTCCTACAGCCCGGATCCCATTTTGGATTCGTTTCTGGGTTCGTTTCAACGAAAGAGTCGCGTAAATGTTTTCAGCGCCTGGGAGATGGCCTTTGTGGTGTCCGCCCTTTGAGAGAATATATTTTAGGACTGGTTTGGAGAATCAATGGAAGTGGACTCACCTCAGGACCGTGTTGCTGAACTCATCCAATTGCTGTTGCGTGACCGTCACATAGCCGCCACTGTTCTTCTTGGGTAAAGCTTCCAGGGCGTTGGCCAGGAACGGCTGCATCTGCTCGTTGGTGACCACCTGTTTCAGCTCATTGAGCACCTCGGCGACATCGGCCAGCATGTACGAATGCAGCTGGAAGACGGAAGCCTGGATGAGGTTCATGACCAGGGCGCCCCCGTGTTGGTTGGCCAGATCAACGACCAGGGGTCGACACTCCGCATGCCTGCTGTGCGTGGTGCGTCCCCAGATGAGTAGATTGATGAAAAACTTCATCACTGAGGAGTTCGCCTCGCGGTGGTCCAGGGAGCAGGCGATCAGGGCACACTGGAAGATCGGGGTGATGAGACTGCTTTGTATGAGCTGCAGCGGGCAGCAGTCGAGGTAGCGCGAGGCCAGACGGAAGAAGTCGTCTACAGTGTCGGGATTATTGCGTAGTCCATTCTCCATCTGCAGCAGACCAAAGGTGGGCTCGATGAAAGCCTGTAGCATCTCCAACAAGCCGGTAATGCACTCACTCGACTTGGCAAACTCGTCGACTAGTATGGAGCCTACGTAAAGGAAACAGCTGTGGTGTTGTACAGCATAGAGGACAACCATTTGCTTGATTAGCGGCTCCACCAGCTGCATAGCCTGCTTTCTGACCATCCTGATGCCATAGCGGATTAGCCGACAGGTTCTCTCCATGATGCGCAAGTCATTTTGAAACTTGTTCATCACCTGCGATATCAGCGGCCAGGCGTCGTTGAGTATGGCCACCGTCGGGTGCTCCACATTGTCAGGGACATCGGGGTTTGTATGCCGTATGATGGCACAGGCTCTGTCTATCCAATACACTGGATCCTCACGCTCTCCCTTCTGCACGCTTCCGGTGCTGGACTCCAGCAGCTGTGCGAGCGGCTGCAGCTGAAAGCCCACAATCTCTCTCAGTGCAGATTGAAGCTGTTCCCGCGTCAGCTGCGTCAAGATCAATGAAATACCCTTAAGCAGTCCAATGGCCACATCGTTGTTGATCTGAAAGCTGTCCAAGCTGCGAGCAATCTCCACCAAGCCACTGATGTGGCACACCATCTTATGCCTGCAGGCGGTACAGATCGAGGTCAAAGCTATAGCCGCCGCTGGTGCCAAGCCATTCTTCTGCTGCAACGCGTAAAGTAAAAAGTTGAGTACTGCCTCCAGAGATTCCGAATGATTCTCAATCCAGTCGCAAAGCTCTCCAATCAGGAGAATGGCTGTGTAACGCACTGCTATATGCGTTTGTTCCGACATATTAAGGATTGCTTCCACCACCTTGGGTATTACATCGTTCTCGTCTCTGCAATGGAAGTTTATCAAATGATAGCTGGACACAATACGAGTTTAAAGAGAGTTAAAATTTACGGTAATATGTTTTTGGCCACATTCAGCATGACGAAAAGCGCCGCTTCGGTGGACTCCCAAGTCGTTTCTGGCGCTTGGAGGATCATAAACATTTGCTTGAAGCACGCTCCTGAACCAACTATAAAAGCCACATCCTTGATCAGGTCTGAAACCTTCCGCCGAAAGTCCTGGAAGAGAAGAGAAATATGCATTGATATTTGAACAGTATAAGCGAATAAGGAATGCTTCTTTAAGCTCACATAGAAATTATTGTTCTCTTCGATGAGCCCTTCGTGGTCACTTTCCATCTGCGAATGACGGTAGAGAGCGCTGATCAGTCGCTCGATGTGCGGCCTGAATTTCGCAGTCAACTTGTCATCGTAGCGCTGAAAAAGGTCCTCGCTAAGCTTGTACCACAAATGAAAGGTGATCTCCGCCACCTCGTAGTCGAAATGTCCGACACATAGCAGCACCAGATCTAAGCCTTTCATGGAGTAGTGCGGCGTCTGCTGGTCCGACAGCATCTTATAGAAGAAGGCATCGCAGAGTGAAGTGAAGATGCGACAGAAGTTAATAGTTTTGTCCGTGTCCTCGTGCGCCACACTCAGGTGATAGGGGGTCTCCAACATGCACACGGCACTGAAGACTTGAGCCTCCACGGGCGCGTCGTTTGCGTTGTCCCTATCATGGCGCGTGGTCATGCAGGAGAGCAGGGCACAAACGCACTCCGTGGCATTGTCGTGGAGCTTGCCAGCCGTCTCGGGCTGGTTGAGCAGTCGAAAGGCAAGCTGGGTTAGAGTGTTATTGCAGATGTGGGAGAAGGGGAAGACGTGAATCACCATCCAGGCACTGTAGGTCCGCAGAGCTGCGTTCCATACGCGCTGCTGGTCTAGGTCGTCTCGTTGCAGGCACATGCACAAAAACTTTAAAACACACTCTGCACTGGCATCTAGCTGTTTGTGGACCTCCTCCCGGCGGTTGGCGCCCAGGCGCAGATAGCGTGAGTCGATCTCCTCGGGCAGCACCTTGAGTACCTCCAAGAGTGGCCATATGGCCGCCGGATGCGGGGCCAGTGTCGTTAGTAGATCGTTTATCGGCTCCTGCCAGGAGGCCATCAGTAGGGCCAGGTCGGCCACAGCCAGACTCAGCTGCGTCACAATTACAATGTCCGTCTGCGCGTCGATCTGTCCGATGTGGGTGATCAGCGAGTCCCGCAGGGACTCGTGTGTGTGCGGAGGCAACTCACTGAAGGAGTTCTGTATCTTGTTCCGCATCGTCTGGGCCGCGAAGTAGTTGGCATGCAGATCCCGCTTCTGGTGCAGCAACTCGTCCGCAATCGTCCACGAGTATATCTTCAGAGGGAAATACCAGATCAATTAAACGCATTGGACACGGGCACTATCGGGGCTCAGCCCGACACTCACCGACTTCTGGAACTCCTGCAGCCATTTGTTGGCCTTCTCCTGCTCCTTGGGGTTATTGCCTTGAAAGAGTGCACTGATTGCTTGATATACTACGTCCACTGAGTATGTATCCATTTCACCGGCTGTTGTAATCGGTGATATTTTGCTATTATTATAACTTATTAGCGATGGATGGCTGGGATGCACCCATATATCGAAACGACATCGCTGGCTAGAGATGTGCATGAGTCCTGTCTCTTCTAAGTTAGTCTAAGCTCTGACTGGTCTAGTGTTACTATTTTCTGTATCGAGATTGAATTTTATTTACAAGATGATAACAAAATATATTACTGTTGATATTAGCTAATGTATTTGACTGCTATTGAATATTTGATTCTTTTTCGTGTTTATTTCAACCCTCCAAGAGGCCTTTGACGTTTTGCAACACTGCACCAGATTTGTCCCCAGTGCAAGACTTTCCTGTTTAACTCGATTAGATTTTGCCATGGACAAAGACTCTGATAGCACTGTAACATCTTTGGACGAGAACACAGAAAACTTCTGCACCAATCCCACCCGCGACATCTTGGCCGAGGGCATCACCAACCTCTTTAAGCCCACCATCGAGAAGTTGGACGAACGCGTTGCTTCCACCATACAACTGCAGACGGAGCTGCGTGGCCAGCTGGCCGCCCTCGCCGCCCAACTGCGGGACATCGAGAAAGCCCAGCATCAAATTCCCGAATTCGCAGACAAGGTGAAGGAGCTGCTCAACGTGAAGCACAAGGTGACCATCATCAGCAACGTGCTGAGCACGAGCCAAGAGCGGCTGACGGGGCTGCACAAGCTCATAGAGAAGGAGCAGCGGAGGCGTCAGGCCCTTCTAGACTCGGCGCTTAGTACCAACATATCGTAGGCAAGACATGGAAACGCCACACTTCGACCATCTTACCTCGCAGGACTACGAGCACGTCTACGAGCCGGCCGAAGATTCGTTTTTGTTGCTCGACGCCTTGGAAGCCGATTTGCCGTTCTTGAATGGGTTGCAGCCACGTCTTTGCGTTGAGATTGGATCAGGCTCGGGGATCATCATTACTGCCCTATCCAAGCAGCTCGCCAACACCTCCCTTTGCCTGGCCACGGACATAAATCCGAAGGCCTGTGACGCCACCAGACGCACTGCAAGGCACAATGGAGGACGCGTTGACAGCGTAAACTGCAATTTGGCCGATGTTCTTCGCAAGCGTTTAGTGGACGTGCTGCTTTTCAATCCTCCCTACGTTGTGACCAGCGACGATGAGTTGCAGTGTCAGATGTTCGGGCCTGGGTCGGCAGGAGAAAGCAACCTTTCGACGGAGCGCAATCTAGTTTACTCGTGGGCCGGCGGCAAGGATGGCCGTCGTGTTACCGACACTCTAATACAGCAACTCGATGACATTCTCTCGCCGCTTGGCGTCCTCTATTTGCTGCTGCTGCGGGAGAACAAACCGAACGAAATTATCAAACGATTGGATAGTCTGCGTTTTAAGGCTGTTAAGTTCATGGAACGACGCATTCCCGGCGAATATCTGTACATACTGAAAGTAACCAGGTTGCCATCATGACTTTAGCAATAAACGATTTTTCTCGTTCTTCAAAGGTTTGCATTTTCGTTCTGTTTTTATTGAGAACCATTTATGGTGTAGCTGTACAAGATACGACTGCAAAGATTTCCACTGGCAACTTCAACAGTAAATGATCCTGGTATGATTCAGATGATGAAATCTCTTCTGCAAAATGTAATGGCATCTAGAGTCGATTTCTCTGGAATGGCTGTGGAGACCAGACTGAACGGAAATCCAATGTTAAGATAATTGACAGACACAGCCGCGCTTAGTTTTTCCACTCTCAAAGCGAATGGTTTGGCGAGAGATCGATCTATGTACATCTGCAGTAAGTATCAGGAATCATATCTACCTGGCGACCTCAGTCCTACTTCTCATGGTTCAAGAATGGCGTGCTTATCAGTGACATCAGCTCCGACAGCTCCGTAGTTGCTATTATGGAGTCGAGGTTCTCCAGCTCCATCACTGAATTTAATATGAATTTTATATCATCCCAATTTTTTGAAAAAATAATTTTATTTTATTTTAGTTTTATTTTAATTTGTGTACCTTTCTGGCTCTAGAATTTTTTTTTATACTATTATTTTTAACATTTTGTATTGCTTTTCGTAGAGCCTTTTTGGGGCAGTCGCCGGGGCTCTTCATCCGCGTCGCCACTGAATTTAAATATATGGATTAAGTTATAAATCCTTTTTGTGCGTTAGCTTAGACTTACTTTCCAAGACACTGTAAAACCTGTTATATCCCTTTAGGGCCATCTTGCCCGCTGTTCCGTCCAAATTAAAAACAAAAATCAGTCCCTCGTCCATCACGTTTTTTATACTTTTTGATAATGGCCCATTTGCAATTAAGCTCCATATCTTTCTGATCTGTGAATATATAAGTCGCTCAGGTGAAAAGAAATATACATACAACTTTTACAATATTCTAATTTTTTACCCACACAAGATCAAGCTTAGAAACCGTACGGATCGGACTTACATATAAAATGACTTCAGGGAGTTATCAAAGCTAGATTCCTTTCTTTTTTGATTACCACTTACATACATATCCGACAGCTCCGTAGTTGTTATTATGGAGTCGAGGCTCTCCAGCTCCATCACTGATTTTAATGGGAATTTTATATCATCAGTCTCATTTGGAACATGGTTCTTCATTAAAGCAGTTGCCTCCGCCAGCTTGTCCGCCATCACATCGAGCTTTTTAGACAGGACCTCAACTTGATCGCGTAGTTCTTTATTCTCTTCGGAAATTTCTACATAAATATATTAGTAAGGAATACGAATTTCAAGCTATAAAATATGTATGATTACCTACCTTTAAGAACATTGATAATCCGTTCTTCAGTCGAGTCTGTAATACAAATATATTTCTATCAATAGCGCAGTTACACTTAAAAAATGATTATATATTATTTACATTAATACGCAAGTTTTACTTACCATCCTCTGCTTCAAACTTTATGCATCCGATTTTAAAAGGCGGTTCTTCTTCAGCCATCGCCTGGTCTCGCCTAAAAATATATTCTTTACTTTCAGATCTGACATTTTGGTACGTTCAATTTATTTCCCGGATAGTTTACCCTCTAGAACGTGCCCTGATTTCACTTTAGTTTAAACAATTTAAGCACTAACCTGCAAAGAACAATTGTAATTAATTATTAAAACACGAAACATAAACAAAGCTGACCTTTCCTCCTTACAAGTGTCAACAATATTGTGCATTTTTTTCACTTGGTTCTGCCGACGTCGGCGTCAGCTGAGTCATGAGTTTAGTCATGAAAAGTGTCACAAGTGAATTCTCACCATATTTACATACATACATACAATGTATGCGCTATCTATCCCGCTTACCCATCGTTTGTTGACATATTATTCGAGACCGTTTGCGCCAAAAATTAGAAGGTATTGCACTAGACTTCACTGAAAATCTACACTTCAAAGAGTTGCACCGATAAATTAGTGTTGGTAGACGACACCGATAATTCAATCGAACAGCTGTGTAATTTTCGGGCGCGAGCCCAAAACATTCCCAGCAGTACTGGGAACTAGTTCGGAGGTGGTGATATCACCACTCCCTAACAGACCAGGGGTACTTTCTTTACTAACCCTTAGCAATGCTTTTCATCATTTCCATTTTTACCCGCAATGTCCTACGACATGGGGACCAGCGACACCACTTCGTTTACCCCCGAACTAGTGATATGGGTACTCGTCTAGTAGCTAGTGAAATGAGTACCCATGTAGTAGCTAGTGAAATGGGTACACATGTAGTAGCTAGTGAAATGGGTACCCATGAAGTAGGTTATCAATCTTCATTTAATTTCATATTTAAATTTTGATTTTATTATATTGGGGGAATTGTTTGCAAACAAATTCGATCAAAACTTAACTTTCTGTAGCTACATGTTTATTCATAGCTTAGCTAAAGTGCATTCAAATCGGGCGAACTATTTATATAGCTGCCATCGAAACGGTGCAATATGTGATGGTATCAATGACTTAGTCTACTGAAACATCCTTGTTCGGAAGTGTTCCGAGTTTTACCATCATCGGAGGTGTTCAGGTAAGACGACTCGTACTAGGTTCGGAAAGCAAGGACTTAACAATTATGTGATGTTATCTAGTAAACAATCGATAATCTGCCGCCTGCAATGGTCCCTGCGCAACTGGAAAGCAGAGATGGTTAGTTTGCAAATTCTTAACACCACGGGACGTTGGTTGACTTTCCTTCTAACATATAAATACACCACTTTGATTGTGATATTCGGTTGTATCTTAAGATTTTCATTCTTGTTCATTTTTTAGACTACCGAAAAATGTCAGGCTACTGCGGGATCTGTCGAACCAAGACGAACAAAAAAATTTTTAAATTGCCAAAAAATGAAACCAAACGTAAACAATGGACACAATCTCTTGGAGTTGTACTATCTGATTCATCAAGGATCTGCGAAAAGCATTTCAAAGACAGTGACTTTCATTATCCCAGTGAGAGTGACAACGGCAATAAACGTGTCCGGTTGAATGCCAAAGCCATTCCAGAAAAATTTGTTGGCATATTCACGGAGCACGTAAACTCTTCTTCGGCATCCAATGCTACAGATTTCAGTTCTCAGACAGAGTAAGTACTGGGAATAACTGGTTTACCATTTAAAAATCCATTAATTTGTAGGAAAGAAGTCATAGAATCCGGCATCATGCTAGAAAATTTACGGTTGAAATTGCAAGTGACAGAATTGCAGCGGGAAAACAAACGACTCACTCAGGAGGTACATCAAATGCATACAATGATGAAGTCCCTCGATAAACTATTCACGACTTCGCAACTCAGGCAGCTTCGGAACGATGGCAAGCGAGTCTGTTGGAATCCGGAGGACATTGCCTACGCCGTTTGCCTCCACACAGTGGGACCTCGAGCATATCGCCACCTCTGCAAGAAGGGATTTCCTTTCCCCCACGAGCGCACTTTAAGAAACTATTCGCAAACAGTTAAAATTCAGCCTGGTACAATGGATTTCGTGCTCAACCTTCTGTCCAATTCTGTGGACATAGATGATAAGGATAAACTTTGCGTCCTCTCTTTTGACAAGATGAAAGTTGCTTCAGATCGCGAATCGACGTCGACAGAAAGATCTGTTCCGCCACCAGAAAACTATGTCCAAGTGGCGATGGTACAGGGCCTGAAAAAATCATGGAAGCAACCAATCTACTTTGATTACAATACGTCCATGACCGCAGAAATGATAAATGTCCTCATCCGAAAGATATACATAGCAGGATACACTGTAGTGGCATTGGTGTGTGACGTGGGACCAAAAAACTGTAAGCTCTGGTCAGAGCTTAAGATCTCTCCTGGTAAGATTCCAAAAGAAAGGTTTGTGAGACACTTGTACTGATGTTTCCCTTTTTTCTTTTAGAGAAGTCGTGGTTCCCGCATCCAGTTCAATCAGATATGAACGTTTTCGTGTTTGCAGATGTGCCCCACCTCATAAAGGACTTAAGATATCACTTTCTCGACTGTGGACTTATGTGGGGCGAGAAAGTAATTGGTGCCAATGCCATTGAGGAAACGCTGGATCATTTTTCTCATTCGGATCTTTCATTAACTTGGAAGGTGGCACGGGAGCACCTGATTGTCAGCGGCCCAGAAAGAAAGAATATTGAATTGGCCACACAGCTTCTGTCCAACTCCACTGCTGTTGTAATCACGCGCTGCTTAGAACTTGGCCTACATGTGGGTAATGGCGAGGAAACAGCAGAGTTTGTTACGATGGTGGAAAGCTGGTTCGATCTCTTCAACTCAAAATTACCCACCTCAAGCTGGATGCTGTGTAGTGTTCTACAGCAAATGTCGGCTTGGATGGCCACCCCTATTAAACCTGGGTCGAAAGAAGAGCGTTGGCCCTTCCAAGAGGGCATTTTGATTAGCAATTCGTCGCTAGATTTTTTGAGATGTTATGTGGCAGAAAAGTATGACATGGAATACGTGATAACTAGCCGGTTGTCGCTGGACCACCTGGAACATTTTTTCTGCACAATGCGTTCTCAGCCAACACATTCTCCTACGCCTCAAGAATTTGAAAGTCGGATTCGCAAATACATCCTCGGTAAGTTATCAAGAGCTCGTAATATTGGCTGCTAACAATTTTGCAATAATCGCAGATAACGTAATAGATTTATGTACGTGAAGTCCGAAACAAGGCCTCGCCTTACATATGTACATCTGTACATCTAAGGCTGGCACCAAAAATATCTGTTACACGGAAACAGCAGAAATTTGTTTCCCTTGCATATATCACCGCCACCGCATGTGGAAAGGGTTTGATAACCAGTATTGTCAACCCTCTGTATGCAATCCAGGGAAATGAGAGGAATGAGAATCACCATCGGTCGCACATGTGCACCAGGAGAGAGTAAAGACAGAATCAATGAATTATGTACCCATGAGCGGTCCCTACCCAAACGACCCCTACACATACCAGTTAGGGGTTCTTTTCCGCACACCCACAGGGGGTTCTTTTCCATCCGCCTGCCCAATTGAAACAAACTTTTTATTGCCATCTGAGAAATGCCAATAGAGGGATGCACAAGCTTGAATATGGTTTTCTCTTTTACGTAATTACAATAATTTATTTCATCGTTCAAAAATGCTTTATATTCTTCTTCTTCTCTTCCTTTTTGAGTGGTTCTGTTGTCTGCCTTTCACTACTACTGGTTGCTTGTTGATTTTATTCTTGATGTTCGCTTTTTCAGATCTAATGCAGATACATAGGTATGTGTTTATGTAGGTATATAATAAGTATTTACAAAAACGCTTGATTCTTCAATATTCATTGTCTGTGGTATCGGTATCGGTATCAAATTGGTATCGGTATTGTATTCAGCGGCATATGTTTGATTCCTCTGTATATTCAATTCAACTGTTGTACGCAACTTAAGCTTAAAGCCCTCAAATGCCTCTCGCTGTGGGAATTGGGTCAGTGGGTGTCTGTGTCGGTTTTATTAGGGGAAAGTGGGTGTTTGTAGGTGGTTGGTTGGGTATGTTGAGGGTCGAATCGTATTGGCGGCATATAAGTACGAGTACATACTCTGATTGACCAACTCTGCGCACTGCTTTGTCAAATATCAGTCGTTATATTTTCAGAACTTGGTATTATTGCATTTATATATTGTATCTTGGGTAGGCGCTGGCCTGCCCTCACTAATTGATATACGTACGAGTATATGTAACATTAAAAGTTTATTCTTGTCCATATTTCGATTCTCGAGTTTGTTTATACAATTTACAAATGAATTGGGTTTATCGTTATTATTCGATTTGCTCAACAAAATGTAAACCCTCGTTTAATACTGACATAAATACTTAAGATTAGTCATGGCTTAGAGCTAAATGCTGAAACGAAACAAAAGAAGCCTCTCCGAGGCTCCCTTGGTTGGGGACCCCGAACAGAACTCAATCTTCCCGTTGCTCGAACGCGCCCTAGAACGAAAAACCCACACAGTCGAGTCGAGTCGCGTCACTCCCCCTTGTGGGTGGGGGGCTGCGTCGATGTCGGTGTAAGTGTGGATGATGTAGGGGCCACAGAGGGCGCAAAAATTTTGAAACCATACGTAAAACTTGAGTGTCGAAGTGTGTCGAAATATGCTTTCAATAGTGCCTCGATTTATTCAAATACAATTTGTATGTTTATTTGTTTTGTATTTAATTGCATTTGCTGTTTCTTCAATTTTGTATTTTTGTCTCTTTCATTCTTTCATAAATGTAACGTCTAATTTTAATAATGAGTTTTTTTTATTATGTGGTTTTTGTTTGTTTGTGTGTGGGTGTGTATGTGTCTGTATAGATTTACGCTTCTTCATGCTCAATCTTTGTATATTTGTTTTTAAGCATAAACTTCTATAAATTAGGACTTATACATAAAGGAAAGAAAGATTTTGGTTTAGTTTTTTTTTTGTGGATTTCGTGTCGTATTTGTAAATAGTGGGGATGATTACGTTTCATTTCGTTCTTTTCGTATAGATCGACATATACGAACCTTTCTCAATTACAATTTTTGTGGTTTTGTATTTTTTTATAAAAAAAGTACACATAAAATACAATTAAAATAAGGTAAGAAATAAAAATTATTCCTTAAACATAAAAATTATATACTTTTTCAATTTTTTTGTGTTTTTTCCTTTGTTGGTTGTTGTTGTTTATTTTCTGGTTGCTTTCTTATTTGTTTTTGCTTGTAACTTTTATTTATTATTAATTTAAATTGTTTGTTTGTTTTGTTGTATTTTTGACTACATTATTATTACGCCTGATCGTCCGAGCCGGAGCCATCGTCGTTATCATCATCATCGTCTGTTCGAAAAGAAATTTAAGATTAGTTCGAATATTCGGAGGAAAAATCCCGTCTATATATACACCTACCATCACATTCAATGTCATCCTCCTCACCATCATAGGGTATGTCGTATTCGTCGCTCTCGATTTCACTGTCGCCCTCGATAATTTCTTCCAGAGCTTCCTCCTCGTCGGAATCGCCGTCGGCGGCCTTCTTGGCCTTCTTTGATTCGGCGGATTTGGCCTGGAAAAATAGAGAGAAATGAGCATAACGATTCCGAATCGGATTCTGGTCCTGTGCGCCCAACTCAAACCCACACATCTCCTTGATCAAGGGCAAAGCAAAAGCTCCATCTAATTCCCCCTTCACACACTATACATGGCCATAAAAAGTATATTTTCAGCCCACAAAACGGGAAACCACTTCGCTCCCCTTCTCATTTTTGTAGTCTTTTGGCAGAGCAGCGGGAAAATCGTTATTTTCGCCGTAAAAAACATTTGAAAAATGCGCGCGCCAATGTAATTCGCTGCAAGCACGCACACGGCAAAGCAAGTTATATATACATATATATAGAGAGAGAGAGAGAAAAAAGGGGAGAGAGAGACAGAGCAACGAGTAAAAGAGCATGAAATTACAAGTGCACTCTCTTTTACATACTCGTATGTATCTTCCTCCTCTCTCTGTGGTGTGCGTGCGTGTGTAATACATAAAAAAAAACAATAAGGCAATAAGCATATGTATCCATATCCATATCCGTGGGATACGACTGCCAAGCCAAGCGTGTGCTCGACACACAGCAGCTGTGAGGGACAGAAAGGAGAGGGAGAGAGAGAGCGAGAGAGAAAAAGACCGCCAGAGAGAGCGAGGGAGAGAAAGACCGCCAGAGAGAGCGCTGACGAGACAGAACTGTACCTGAGAACGCGTCACGACATAGTTGCATGAATGAATGCCTCTCGTACACACACACACCCACAGCTGCTGAAGCAGAGTGCGCTAGCGTCGCCGCCTGCGTCTGCGTCTCTGTCAGCGTCGTATGCGTGGGTTCACGTTTGTTAAGCAGCAGCCAACCAACAACAAGCGGCCATAAGCGGTACATAAGAGGTACCCATCTAAAAAAAAAACCCGTAGTATATATGTATATTTACTAGGCGAAGCCGACTGTTACATGTGAAAACAAGATAGCTGCGGAAAAGTGTGCAAAATATGAGCCCCCCTCCCACTCTTGAAAGGACAACATACATAAGTCACGAGACTGAGCTCTTGAGAAATGTGCAATACAAAAGAAATAAAACAGGGTCATCAAGGATATAAGTAGAGGGGGTAAGTTCAAAGGGATTTGGTGGGAAATTATTTTCCACTGACTGTTGATGGTGTTTATTGACAGTTTCTACCTGTATAGTTTTCCATTCTCGTGTCTAACATTCTTCTACCAAAACAAAGCACGTCACTCTAATCTGTATTTAGGTAAGCCCAAATTGCAATTAGTAATACCCTGTAATGACTAATTTAAAAGGAGAGTATTGCCCAGCAAAGACCTAACCTCAGAGGAAACCAACAAACACCGTGTACCTCCATTACATAACCTCAAAAGGGCAGTTTGACACCCTGTACAGGCCTTGTTTTATGTACGCATCGCCATGTACCAAAATAAATACGCATAAAAGGGAGAGGGGAAAAAGTGAAAGATAAATGTAAGCGCAAACACAAACATCCTACACATGGGAGTGTATGTGTGTATACATAACCAATTACGAGAGAGCGGTGGATAAAGAGCGAGACGCATAAACGATGAGAGAGCGAGAGAGAACCCGTTACTGTACATTTTCGTTTCGAGTTCGAGTCAAATCGTTTCATTTGCCAATTTATAGTTCTCACTAGCGTGCTACCTCATGGCTTTTATTTTTATCAGAAATGTGCTTTTCGATTATGGCCCCAAATGGGGGAATGACAGAATGGAATGTGACAGACGATACAAAAGAAGTTTGAATACCGCGCGCACACAGTCGCCGGCCGGCAATGTTTTCGCTGAGAGAGAGACAGAGAGAGTACTGTTATTGTTGTTGCGGCGTTGCCAACATTTTTTGCAAACGCAATAGTGAAATGCAGTTTCCCCGATGATAAATAAGGCCAAGTATGCAAATAATGAAGTGTTATTGCATCTATTGTTCTGAACCCAGCAGAGAAACACTCACAGGCAGTGTAGGTGTTGCAAGGCCGCTTACAAGCTATCTATGTACACACCTCTCTTACTCTATGTATCTTTGCTCTGCTCTCTTTCTCGGTTAAGCTTTTTGCGTCTTTCCTTTGCCCACGTCAATGTTAATGACCTGTTCTAGTATTCATCTGATTTGGTTAAGTTTATTAAAAATACATTAGCGCACGCTCTCGCTCGGGAGCGGGACTTCTCTATCTGAGCCAGAACAGAACTGTACCGCAACTGCATCATCAATAGCGTTGTCGAGTGGTGTGGATGGGCCCTCTAACCTCGATTTGAACCCAACAACAATAATTCTTGATTACCGACCGACAATCATCTTGGTTAATCGTAAACAACTGTCTCTCTCTCTCTCTCTCTCTCTCTCTCTATACATGTATTCTCTCCCTTGTTGGTATATAAGCGCTTGCGAACAGGCTCTCTGAGCGTAACAATCCCGCTCTCAGAAGCAGCATTTGAAATCGGAAAACGTGTGTATATCTATTTCCAGAATTTTTCGTCGTTTTGTAATATTCGAAAAGTGGAACTTACGAGTTCGAATGAATCACTTTGTACCGAGGAATTCGAGCGCGTAAACAAAAATCACATCAATCGATAAGGCGATCGATAGCGATACCGACAGGAGGGGAGAAGTGTTGGGAAACGCACAAACCAAAAACGTGAAACTGTACAATGAAGATGATCGCCTCTTTTCCTCTTCCCACCGCAACTGGAGCGCACTGGTGGACAGGGGTACTTACTTCTGCTGGCCTCTTGGTGCCTTTCACTGATTCCTTAGCGGGCGCGGCAGCGGCATCGGCAGCATCCTCGCCGTCCTTTGCCGTACCGTTATCGGCGACCGCGTCGCCAGCGGCATCTGCTGCTGCCTTATCCTCGCTGGCTGCCTTGGCTTTGAGATCGTCCTTCACCGCGGCGACGTCGTCCTTGACGGCCACCTTCTCGACGGCAACATCACCGTTATTCTGTTGTTCTGTGGCTGCAGACATTTTGTTTCTGGTTTTTTTGTAGTTTTTTTTTAAACTTATTTGTTTAATTTATATAACGCTTAACGGTTATATGGGCTTTAGCTGGATGATTTGAATGATTGATGCTCCTTGTATGTATACTCCGTTTATTTCTTTTTATTGCTGTATTCGGAAAATGTGGGTTGTTGACAAAAATTAGCGCAAAATAGTCAGGGGAGAAAACGAGAACCGCACCGCACGAGAACACAAACACAGTGTTTGGATTTGTGGTACGTCCAGTGTATTTAAGCAGCGGAAGAGAAGCGTTGACACGACACAGATACAAATCGCACACGCACACGCACACACACACACACTTAGGCACTCTCGCTCTCGTTTTCTCTAGTCCTCTCTCGCTTGCTTTCTTTCTGGCCGGCTTATCACACGGTCGGTTGGTGTTGCCTCTCTCCCTCGGAATACACTGAAGAAAAACCTCTGCGGCATCTGTACAGCCGCAGTCGGCAGCAAAGTAGAGAGAAGGCAACAACAACAGAGTTTGCGTCCAAGCAATCGAGAGATTTTTGAAATATTTTGCAATAATTTTGGATCAAGTATTATATAGAGTATTTGCAGTGCAGGAGGAAATCAGTCAGAGGCCACTGTGAAAAACAGATAGTATTTATCTTGCATGGAAGAAGGATACTACTGCTAACTGCTGGGTATTTTCTGTTTTGCTGACCACGATATGTACCCGTTGAAGGCTCGAACAAGAATGAACATGCTCGCGCGGCAGCGTTTACAAATTGCCGCCAGCTTCTTCTTCACAAAAAGTTGCGCCCCGATATTTTCGCCCATTTCTCAGATTCCTTTATTCAGATCGGATCTGAAACAGATCGAGGGGATACTGCTAATGGTCCCCTTAATTTTGGTATTTTTTCGAAGTCGATACGATCAAAACTATATCCGGAATTGACAAAATGAGTGGGTTTCTTGATTAATTCCATACAAAATCTGCTTGGGTTCCGTGAGTACAGTCGCCGGCACGTTTGGCGCTAAATTTGAAAATTTGCCGGCCGATGTAGTTGGCGAACTCTAGGGCGGCATGGATTGGGGGTGTGGTGCAGTCGTTCCGTTGCTTCGACGTTCTGTTGGAATCACCAGTCGACGCGTGCGTGAGCCCGACAGTTTGTCCGTCGCTCCCCTTTCTTGTTGTTGCTCATGGGAAGTGTTGCTGCAGTGCTGTTGATGCAGATGTGTGTAGAGCGCCTTCTACTGGGCGGATAGCAGTGCTTGTATTTATAGAGTGGACCAGCGTGGGCCGGAATATGCTCGCGTATTGGGGTCAATTGATTAGCAATGTGAGTGGAGGAAGAAGGTGCTCAGGGAGACGTCTATTTTTTAGGCCTATTAATTCGTCCACCTCAGGGTATACCAACGACTTGGCTGGAGAAGAGTCTGGGATCGTTACACAGCGAGTAGTGGGATAACCACAATAACTTTCTGGGTTCAAATGGCTACATTGAACCCATCATCGCTTATCAGCTTATGTTCGAACATGGTCCACCCTTAGTTTGTTCTTATGTGCCGTTTCTCCCGTTGATCCCGCATTTGTGGTTCGACAATTTGCTGGCTCTGTTCGTTACACGAACCATGTTGGTTCAGGAATTGGCTGATGAGCTATTGGCATTGTAGTCGTTCTTATTTCGGTCCGTACGATTTGCCGTGTCTCAGCCATTACACCTGATATCCAAACAAAACAAGGGTATATTGCGTTTGTTTAGAAACATACATACATATCTATGTATGTATATGGGGATTGAAGGCAAAGGCATACATATATTAAGTAAGTATTGATTTAAAACATTTAAGTAATTTTCCATTGAATTCAAACACAATTTGTCGCCGATAATGGTGTAAAATGTAACCTATTCTCTGCTGAATTACTTTTAAAAACGTATACTGAGTAGCAGGTAGTCGGGGCTCTCGCTTGAAACATTCTTGTTTGTCAGCTATTTTCGTGCATAAGCAACAATAAATACACATGTATGTGTGTACATATGTATGTAGCTATAGTTCGTAATCTGAATAATACGGGAGACGGCAGAGCAGCCGTCCGTCAGCTCGCTAATTAAAAGCGGCGAACCTGTTCGCCCGCTCACGTTGAAGGCATTCGTGGTAAACACCTGTAATCGTGGGACATCATTGAGTTATCATATTTGAGCAGCAGCGCCGCCAGCAGCCGCGACAAACAGCTCTGACTCTTGGCTGCCTTTAGGACTGAATGCTGACGATAAGCCGATTTGCGTCTTCGTTTTGCAAGCCGCCACGCGGTGCGGTTAGGCTTTCTTCTCTCCGCGGCCTGAACTCTTACGAGTAGTCCCCATTGGAGTGGCACGGCATGGCGTTCGTTGTTCCCCCGTTCGTGCAGCATTCGCGCATTGTTACCATATGAGTCGGTGGCTCTCATCAGCCGCGATGGGGCCTTTGACGGACAAAAGCGGGCCGCATTCGTACATGCGGTCAACAAGCTGTTGTATCTAGATTCAAGAGGATCCCGTAAAGATACGGGCACTGTTTGACCGGTAATATGCCAAGGTTAGTCCGTGATTCAAAATGGAGGATCATTCGCGATAACACAGGTGCTAATCGCGGATGGAAAGGCATGCAGGAAGTTGATTATAGACCTTTCTAGAAAGGTCCTATTTCCAGGAAGGCCAACATCTGCCATTCGGTGTTCGTTATAAAAAATCCCGTTGCCTCAAAGTTCGTCCATAACCTACCCCAAGATTCCTGCTTAGTTCAGAATCTCCTTCATAAAAAGTACATACACATGCGTCGTAAAGTTTCCGTAGCAAAGAGGTGTGAACAAATCTTAATGCAAACAATCGATACCTGACCACTCATGTGTATCTAGATACATATGTACATGCATACGTACTCGTACATGCTGGTACACCAGTGACACCCTAGCATGTACCATGGCACGAAGTTTTTTTTTAACTTGGGCTGCTAATAGTCTGTAATGGATCCAAGATACCAAGATACTTACTACAATCCATACATTGGTATAATCGTGCGTGCTTTTGAACCTGAATCATATCATACTTGTAGGTCATACTGTACCGCATAGCGATTGTCGTTCTAGTCTCTAAGAGTCATGAACGTTTACTTTAGGTAACTGAAATCGTTCTGGAGAACAGCATGGAACAGGTTTACAATTCGCTTTGAGCGGCTGTTAGAATGATAGATAGGCGATTCGCTTGGCCGAGTTGCCCGAGCCGGGTCTGGGAGACATTCATCTCCGGTCTCGGGTCGCGTTTGGCTGGCTTGTGCTAATGTTTCCACACGAGTGCGACGACTAGTACGATACCCAGCTGTCCTACGTCAACGGGCACTTCACACGCAATTATTAAAGTTAAATTTACCAGTGACATTGTCTTCGATTTCCAATATTGCTCGTACTCGTACCTGAGGATGGGGCTGGAGCTGGACGGGAAATGTCGGGGACGACGCACTGCCCATTGTGAGAGTGTCCTCTGTGGTGGGCTTGCACTTATGACGTTTTTATGGGTTGATGGGGAAACAAGAGGGTATATCATCCCGTCGTGCACATTCTTCCACCGATGGTGCAGTGCTGTGGTTGAAATGCTTTGAATAGGCCCACGCCATGCTTTCCTCTTCTGTCCTCCCCTCTTTATCTCATCCACTCTCTTACCCCATCGCCGTTGCTGCCATCTGCGTCATGCATTTTGCTGCACTGTGTATGTTCGGTGGGTGTTGGTGGTGGTCTTGCAGGAGGCGGTGGGTGATGTGATGTCTCGTGGTGGTTGTTGCTTGAACTGTCCGCCGAAGAGACCGGCGGCAGAGAGTGTCAGCGAGTGAGCGGCGCATGAATGAATCATTTGGGGAAGAGCCATGTTGGAATCATTGGCAGTTTGTGCGAGTGTGTTAGCGTGCCTGTGCGCGCCGGGGCATCTGTTTGTACATGGCTGCGGTCTCTGAACAGCCGAAATAAAACTGTATGGCCAATCGCCCAGAGCACAAATCCATTCATTTATGTATGAATGTACATACAATACACTCTCATGGATGCTCGAATTCGTTACTGGGCTTGGGTGAAAATCATTTATTTATACAATAATTACATATGTACGCTCATCTTTCTGGGACACATTGGTATTCCCAACCAAGGCATAATGAGATTATAAAATTCAGCGATGAATATTTTACTACTTTTCACATGTCATAAAATGGACGTTACAATTATTTGTAATTTAACTTTGGAGATTATACAAAAAATAGACTTTAGCTTCTTTTAAATTTAGCCGCTAAAACCGTTGTGTTTCTCAACACTGTGCAGCCAAACGGCAGAGTTGCATTTTCACAGATTTATGTACATTTGCACTTTTTACGATCTGCATTAGCAGCTGCAGTAAATATACACATTCCTTTGTAATGTATTTAGATTTAGACTGGCTCCCCACTGCCTTTATTTCTACTAGCCAGTAAATTTTTCGAAGCTTTGAAATAGGCTCATTTACAGCACTGGTTGGAAACCATTTTGCAGCACCAATTGGCGCCACTTGTCAGAGCTGCATTTCAGTACGAATTTGTTTTATCTATTCAGATACAACCTAGTCTAACAAGAATATATGAATTTACCGTTCTGATTAGTGTATCTGTATCTTTGCCATGCGCAGCCTTTGTTGCGGCGCAAAGCTGACTGATATGGAGCCGTTACAGGCACAACATGCAACCCTAATCAACCGACCCACTAATGACCTTGCTCTGACATTGCCGCACAGCAGCTGTGAATGAAGAACATTCGCCAGGCCAGTGGTAAAAAATTTGTTGGAGTTGTTCGCACACACCATAAAAATTATTAAAATGGCCTTTAATAAGCTGAGCATTGAGAACCTGGACTTGGAGGGCAAGCGGGTGTTGATGCGGTAATTGTGGAGCTATGGTGTTGTGTCTGGCAACTGGGTTGCATAAACCTCCGTTTCGTTCTCTTCCCCTGCAGAGTGGACTTCAATGTGCCCATCAAGGATGGAAAGATCACGAGCAACCAGCGCATTGTGGCTGCTCTGGACAGCGTAAAGCTGGCCCTGTCCAAGAAGGCCAAGTCCGTGGTGCTGATGTCCCACCTGGGTCGTCCCGATGGCAACAAGAACATCAAGTACACGCTGGCCCCCGTGGCCGACGAGCTGAAGAAGCTGCTCGGGCAGGATGTTAAATTCCTCAGCGACTGTGTGGGCAGTGAGGTGGAGGCCGCTTGCAAGGACCCCGCGCCGGGTTCTGTCATTCTGCTCGAGAACGTGCGCTTCTACGTGGAGGAGGAGGGCAAGGGCCTGGACGCCAGCGGCGGAAAGGTAAAGGCCGATCCCGCTAAGGTCAAAGAGTTCCGTAGCAGCCTGGCCAAGCTGGGCGATGTCTACGTCAATGATGCTTTCGGCACTGCCCATCGTGCCCATAGCTCCATGATGGGCGATGGCTTCGAAAAGCGTGCTGCTGGCTTGTTGCTCAACAAGGAGCTCAAGTACTTTTCTCAGGCCCTGGACAACCCCCCAAATCCCTTCCTGGCTATCCTAGGTGGCGCCAAGGTTGCCGACAAGATCCAGCTGATCGAGAACTTGCTCGACAAAGTCAATGAGATGATCATTGGCGGCGGAATGGCGTTCACCTTCCTTAAGGTCCTCAACAACATGAAGATCGGCGGCTCCCTGTTCGACGAGGAGGGTTCCAAGATAGTCCAGAACCTAGTGGAAAAGGCCAAGAAGAACAACGTCAAGCTGCACTTGCCCGTGGACTTTGTCTGTGGTGATAAGTTCGCTGAGAACGCAGTCGTTAGCGAGGCCACCGTTGAGAGTGGCATTCCCGATGGACACATGGGTCTGGATGTGGGACCCAAGACTCGTGAGCTCTTTGCGGCACCTGTGGCACGCGCCAAGCTGATTGTCTGGAACGGGTAAGTTTTTCTGTTATCGTGTCAGTTCTCTGTTCCAATTTAAACCTGTGAAACAGACCTCCCGGCGTGTTCGAGTTCCCCAACTTCGCCAATGGCACCAAGGGCATCATGGACGGTGTTGTGGCCGCCACTAAGAACGGCACGATCTCCATCATTGGTGGCGGCGACACAGCCTCGTGCTGCGCCAAATGGAACACTGAAGCTCTCGTCTCGCACGTCTCCACCGGTGGCGGTGCCTCCCTGGAGCTGCTGGAGGGCAAGACACTGCCCGGCGTTGCCGCTCTCTCCAACGCCTAAACTCAAATGGAACACACTCTCCGAAATATGTATGTTAATCGCGTCGTTTATCTTGTAAGCCCCACAGACACAAAGTTGAATCATTTTGTTGCAGAACTAAATGCACATGAAATAAAGGAATACTATTTAGCTTACGGCCGTGGCTTCTACTTTCGTGCAAAGTTCGTATCCATGGCGGAGGAGGTGCGCTGTATGTTGTTGAGATTGGCCCGTATGCGATCGCCAATCGAGTTGTGATTAGAAATGGCCTTCTTCACCTCCTTGTTGATGAACTCCTTGTCAAAGTCACGCTCCCTGTTCTGCGCTTCTTCCCGGGCATATGCCTCGCGGTGCTTCCGCACGGCTTGGGTGCGGTCGGCCTCTCGCCATGTGGCGTTGTCCATCATCTCTCGCAGACGAGCCTCGCGGTCGGCTTCGCTCAGCTTGGGCTTGCCGACGTTGCGCTTAGGGGGTGACGGTCGTTTCGGCGGCGGGCTGGGGCTGTGGCGGCGACGGATTGGACTTCGGTCCCTGCTGCGTTCTCTTCGACCTGTGTGATCCGTGCTGCGATCTCTTCGACCTGTGTGATTCCTGCTGTGATCTGAGCGTCCTCTGCTGCGGTCTCTTTGATCTCGTTCCCTACGTGGAGGCCCTCTTTCCGGGCTTCTTCGACGTTCTGTCTGATGCTGTCGTCGCGAGCTGTGGCTGCTGCTGCCACCACGATTTGCTCTCGGTTCCTCTGGACTGTTGCCTCTGCGGTTTTCCCTGAGCCTTGAGCTTCCATTGCGGTCATCTCTTCTCCTGTGCTCTGACTCTCTTCTTCGTGCCCTCTCATCGGTGCTGCTTTCGTTGCTACTGTCGCTGCTTTTGCGTCTCGACTTTTTGCTCTTCTTCCTCTTGGATGCAATGTCCAACTGCTTGGATATGGTCCGATACTTTGCGTCCAATAGCTTGTCTAGTTTCAAGTCCTCATTTCCAGCGTCTCCCTTCAGCTTGCTGACTTGACGTGCCAGCTTTCTGTCCAAGTCCTCGTCGCTTTCGCTGCTGCTCGATTCGTTGCTGGACCTCTTGCTATGTTTCTTCTTTTTTGATTTTTTACTCTTTTTGGATTTCTTTTCCTTAGCGGCTTTCAGATCTTGCTCAGTCTTAAGAATACGATGGATTTCCTTCAATTTGACTGGATTCTCCAGAAGCTTTCGTCGCGATTCCATTTCGCGCTGCTTGATGAGCATCAGTGGGTCCTCCATAGTCTTGCGCTGCATGTCTACTTGCTCTGTGGATTGCAGGTTGCGGTACGCCCGTATGGAGAAAGGAACACAGTCGTGCTCGACATGATTGATGGACTGTTTGAGGCCCACAGTGCCGTGTTCCTGCCGCCGCTCCTCGGCTTGCAGCGTCTCAAAGGATTTGTCGATCTTGCGGCCGAGCAGGTACTCTTCACGGTTGATTAGCTCCGTGCTGTCTGTAACGTTGTATAGGGCTATAAATGATGCTACTTTTCATGTGACAGCAACCCAAACTCACTTTTATACATCCATTCTAGCTTTGCCTCGCCGGCGGCTCCTCCACTGCTGGCCAGCACACCAGAACTCTCGCCCAGGCGCCTAAGATCTTCCCGATCCCGCTCCTCGTGGATTTCCTTCCGTAGGTCTTGTAACTTCCTCTCTTCCATCTTGGCCTGCTCCTCTGCTTTCCAAACCCGCTCCTGGTTTTTCATCGTGTGCGGATGCCATGATTTCTTCAAGTTCTGTGCGAGAATTCCGATTATTCTTGAAGGCTCCATACAGAGGGGCACTACTTACCAGATCACCACCACCCATTTTTGTAATGAATCTGTGTTTTTACTGCAAACAAAAAAAATTTAGCTATTGTTGTGTTTCCCTCTGTGTGACCGCGGATTTATCAATAAAATATACCGTCCGACCGTCAGAAATATACCAAAACATACCGCCTCATTTTCAAAACATACCGTAAATATACTGGCGAATTCAAGTCCACTTTTACATATTCCTCGTTTTTGATATTCCGTGGAATATTTTTTGCTATATAGCATATTTAGCCATGCCCACATAGTTTTATACGATTCATGAATAATTTTTCTACTTAATTGGCTTATTTTAAATACTTGCTTTTATTGCACTTTGCGTAAAAAGAGGTTTTAGGTCATAGTGATTGAGTATTTGATGCTCGGGAGAATTTAGAAATTTTTGAAATGCCTTAAATTTTCTATGCCGCTTCGAGCTCTTAGAAAAGTAATTGAATGTATCCTTAATCGTTTGCTCTAGACTTCTTGGTAGCATTTTACATGCATAACTTGAAGCGAGAGCTACTGAGTGGCAAACACACTTTACAAAAAGAACCGAATCATTTGCACTTTTAATCTTGGACACTATGCTGCAAATCCTATAATGTTCTCCATGCTGAACCCAAATTCCTGAAGTCCCTTATCCAAAACTTGGAATAAGTCCTCTGCTTTGTGGAAATATTTCGTGTTTTTAAATTGCGTTGCGGCGATGCTTCTATGTATATTCAAACACGCCCTTACCTTGCTGACTGGCACAGCTAAGACTTCGACTGCCAATTCGATAAGCGGCATAGTCCAAACCATGAGAATCTAAATGTGGCCAAGAGCTCCACGCATGGAGATGAGATCGAAGGAGCAGAGGTCGGTGGAAGAGATGGATCACCAGGGAGTTTGGCCAGTCTGGGCAACAGCAGTGCTCGAATGCTAGGCGTAGGCGGATTGGGGCAATCCTGATTGGACCGCCTGTCTGTATTCCATTCAACTTCTATACCACTTTGGAGATGCTCGGCTCCTTTACTGTCAAGTAAGTCAATAGAATACTTTTCGTTTTATTTCAAAGTACATTAACAAGAAAATGTTTGGTTTTGGACGTCAGGTTAGAGCCGCCAGTCTTCTTAAATTTGCATCTGGTCGACTTTTTGGCAGCAATCAAAAATGCGGAGACGCTGGAAAACCTGCAAAGAAGTTGAGCCTGAAGAACGTTGATGTGGCAGGCAAACGTGTCTTCATGAGGTAAGGATTCTAAAGAGTAAATGCCCACATTCATGACCTGGGGTCTCTGTTACAGGGTGGACTTTAATGTTCCCATGAAGGATGGAAAAATAACCAACAATCAGCGCATAGTCGCGGCTCTGCCCAGCATCAAATATGCCCTGGACAACAAGTGCAAGTGTCTGGTAAGTAGATCTCCATCTATGCACTCCTGTGCTCGTCCATTAGAGATTCCAATTACCCAAATTAGGTATTGGCTTCGCATTTGGGTAGACCGGATGGGAAAAAGAACAAAAAATTCACACTCGAGCCGGTGGCCAAGGAGCTGCAGAAGGTGTTGGGAAGGCCGGTGTGCTTTCTCGATGACTGCGTGGGGGAGAATACCCTAGATGCGGTGAAGAATCCTCCTGAGGGTAGCGTCCTGCTGCTGGAGAATCTTCGCTTTTACGCCGAGGAGACGGGCAGCAGCAAGGATAAGAACAAAAAGAAGATCAAGACTGATCCCGAGAAGGTTAGGCAGTTTCGGACCAAGTTGGCGAAGCTGGGCGAGATCTATGTCAACGATGCGTTCGGCACTGCTCACCGGGCTCACAGTTCTATGATGGGCGAGGGCTACAAAGTGCGAGCCGCCGGGTTTTTGATGGACAAGGAGCTAGAATATTTTGCCAAGGCGCTTCAAGAACCAGTCAAGCCGTTCCTGGCCATTCTGGGGGGCGCAAAGATCGCCGACAAAATCCCCCTGATAACCAACCTACTGAATAATGTTTCTGTCATGATTGTGGCAGGTGGGATGTCCTTTACATTTCTCAAAGTCCTCAACTCCATGGAGATTGGCAAGTCGTTGTTCGACGAGAAAGGTGCCGCCATGGTGCCCGAAATAATGGCAAAAGCGCAGGAGAAAAAGGTCAATATAATCCTACCCGTGGACTTTGTGTGCGCCAACAAAATCGATAAGAACCCGGAGAGAGTCGAGTCCGTGGATGCAAAACAGGGTATTCCCAAGGAGATGATGGGTCTTGATGTTGGCAAGATATCCATTGAAATATTTGCCGGAGCCATTTGCGCTTCGAAGACGATTGTTTGGAACGGTCCACCGGGCCTATTCGAGAATGAACGCTTCGCCAATGGCACCAGAGCCATGTTGGAGGCGGTCATCGGGGCCACGACACGGGGAGCCACCACCATCGTCGGCGGCGGAGATACGGCCACGGCCTGCAAGCAGTTCGGTGGGGCCGACAAAGTGTCGCACGTCTCCACGGGTGGTGGGGCTTCCCTCGAGCTGCTCGAGGGAAAGGTTCTTCCTGGCGTAGCAGCCCTCTCCGATGCCTAAAATGCAGGACAGAAGCTATGACCAGTAACAACAGGCTCAATCTATTTTGACCTGCCTGTTCGGCATTTGATATTATTTTTTCCCGGCTGTACGTACTTTGTTTTTGCGATCCCCCAGTTGCTTTTTCTTGCCAACGTAATTTGTGTGGATTTTCTGTAGAATTGGTATTCAATTTCCAATTATTTTGTTATTAAATGTTAACTGTAAAATGGAGTGGCATGGATGTCCACCCGCAGGACTGAGAGACAACTGGCTGCTACAATACAGTGCGGTTTATTTTGGAATAACATGAGTGGGTTAAAATTAGGTAAATGAGTTTTCGATCTCGTATAGGATTGCCTACCAGTATTCGTAAAATTTGGACCAGTATTCAATCGGTTTAGGATCCATATGGTGTATATTTCGTTCAACTCTGGAGGATAATACAAAACGATAAGCTTTCCCGTTTTAGTCAAAGCTAATCAGCTCTGCTGTGGCTGGCTCGTCTGCTTTGACAGGCTTCGGCTCAGTCTGTGGCGGAGCCGGTGCAGCAGCAATGGCCTGAATTTGTTTGTTGGCGATCTCGGCGACTGGTGGGACTTGAGGAAGTGGCTGCGAAGGTGCTTGATTTTGTGCTTGGGGAGGAGCTTGGGGAAGTGCCTGTGTCGGTGCTTGATGTTGTGCCGGGGGCGGTGCTTGATGTTGTGCCTGGGGCGGTGCTTGATGTTGTGCCTGGGGCGGTGCTTGGGGTAGTACCTGGGGCGGAGCCTGATTGGCCAGCGGTGGATGAGACTGAACTAACTGTTGCTGCTGGAGCATCACGTGGCCAATTTGAGGCTGTTGAGGTTGGGGGGCCGGATGGTGGAGCTGGGCATTGGCTGGCTGTGGCTGATGCATCGCCTGCTGCAGATGCGGAGGCATCATCATTCCTGGGGCTGCATTTGTCGGTGGCTGGGCAATGGCCGGGTTGTACATGCCCGGCGGAATGCCCTGGAACTGTCCGTGGCCATTGGGTGCAGGAGCTGGATAGCCAGGAGCTGCAGTTACATACGGATTATAGACGCTGTTCGGTTGATGCGATGGGGAGCCATGCGGGGCTACGCCGGATGCAGGGAGGTATGGGAATGGGGCCGATTGTCCCATGAGATACTGGGCCTTTTGCTGTTCTTGGCGCAGCTGCATCTCACGCTCCTGCTCCTGAATGCGTTGGAGTGCCAACTGGCGTTGGTACTGAAGGTATTCTTGCTTCTTCTTGCGCATAATCTCCAGCTTCTGAGCCATTTGCATCTGACGCTGGCGCTCCTGCTCCTCGGCGATGCGCCGAAGCTTCTCCACGTGCTCCTGGCGCAGCACGTCCAAGGCGGCACGCGAGTCCTTGATCTGAGCCAGCTTATCCTGCAGCTGCTCGTACCACATGCGTTTGTCGTCCTTCTCCTTGATGTACGACAGCTGCTGGGAGTGCAGCGATGTCAGAGTCATGAACAGGGTCTGCACAGAGGAGTCGTTCGAAATGCTGCGACCACGGCTCGAGTTCGACTTCATGCGGTTTACGAAGATCTCCACCTGGGTGCGCATATTGGCGGCAAACTCATCGATCTGCACCTCATCGGCGGTCTTGGGCTGCACGGGCAAAGTCTGCTGTGGCTGTGGCGTGGGAGGCATGGGACTGGGAGCCGATGGGCTGGCCATGGAGGAGGACTCGCTGATTTTACGCTGCTCCCAGTAGCTCCGGTTCAAGTATTTGGCTAATTCCGGGTTTGACGCCTCCTCCTGTTGGTACTCCTTGGGGGCCGGCGGCGCCTCTGGACTGGGCGAGTGTTGTTGCATTCGGTAAGCGGCTGCCGCTGATGTCAGGGTCGTTTGTTTCGGCTTCTGTTGCTCGGCCTCGGACTGGCTGAGGGCCAGGGCCAGTTGTAGCTCCTCCTCCTCCTTGAGCTCCTGTTCGGTTTTGCGAGCAGGCGTCTGGAAGATAAAGGCTATTTCATGAATATTTTGTGTGCAATTTGTTCGATTGACAAACCTGCACCTGCTGCGACAAGGAACTGTTCAAATACTCCGCCGGCAAATCGCTATCCGCTGGACGTGCTCCAGGCTTGCTGCTACCGGCAACGCCAACTCCACCACTGCCGCTCCCAGCTGGGCGCAGGAGTGCCGCAAAGCAGCCATCGCACACACGAACCTCCTTCTCAATGCCGTACTTCGGCAGGGGGCACTGCTTGGCCGTGCACTGGCCACAAAACACCTGGCCGCAGTTACGGCAGTGGTGCTTGCGGTTGGTGAAGGTAAACTCTACGCGGCATCGGTGGCAGACCTTGCCGTCGGACCAGTTGGGCGCCGTGTCGGCCGTGAACATGGCATCGGCTTCCTTCATCTCGGGAAACGTGTGGCCCTTGGCCTTTAGGATGGTCATGGTGTCCTGCAAGGTCAGAATTATTATTGGCGAGGGATTCAACTGCTCAAGAGCCTACTACGGATTCTTCCTCCAAGCTAAGTTCCTCCTCGCAGCTCATTTTGAATTGACAGACCACTTTGTACTGCGTTTAAGCAACAACTAACAGAGGCTACTCACTAATTAAATTATAAGAATCGGACAAAAGAAGAGTCTTGCAAGTCGACGTTTCGACACTCTTCTGGGTTGGTTTTCGCATGTATAAGCAAATCAAGTGAACGGATAAGATAAGATATGAGTCATCCGACGCGGTCGTACCTTGATGGATTGATATTTGTCCGACGAGCGGAAGGCATTGGCCCAGGTCTGCACCAGCTCCAGCATTTTCTGACGCACGTTCTCGTGGGGCGTGGTCTCCAGGAAGCTACTGAACATCTCGCAGTTCTCCTTGGTAAACACCTCCTCGTGCACGGGGGCGCCACAGTTCTTCACAATGCTCTCCAGCACCAGGAGCGAATAGCAGGCCGAGTGCGGATTGGGAGAGTTCATTTTCTTCTTGATCGCGGCGAAGGCATTCTTCGGTCTGCAGTAGGAGAAATCTCAATTAGGACTAGATATAGAGCTCGATATCAATGGTAGTGTCAGCATACGTGATATCCTTCTGGTTGATTTCATCGCAGATGAGGAGGATGGAGGGCCAGTCTGGCTCCAATCGCAGATGACTCGTGGCGCTCTCTGGAACATAAAAAGAAATATCAGGCGTTGCGCACTTAGCCCCACAATCGTCACAATTGAATTGCGCTGCTAGGTCATTCCCTTTTATTGTTAATTTTGTTTCTTTTCTTGCTTTTCTGATGAGTCATTTTTACTGGTTTTATTCAACTCGTTTTTTACTTTTATTTTCCCTTTTACCTAGATTCTTTTCAAAGCTCGATCGAAACATGATTTTTGTGCTTTATTTTCTTTTTCTTTTCCTTTTTCTTGTGTGTTTCCTATTATTTAATGGCTCGATCTTTATGTTTTTTTATATATTTTGTTGTTGACAGTGGATACGGTCCATATATACGGTCTGACCCTCAGGAATATACCGAAATATACTGTCTCATATTCAAAATATACCGTTGAAAAAAACTAAATTAGCCCACTGAAACCCCTATTCTTAAACAAGTTGTAAGTTCCTCTGTACTTAAAAAAAGCTCACGATATCTTTCTACTGAGATGGTGACTATATTGATATCCCCTTGTCTACAATGGCTTAATAGTTCTGTTTCCAAGACCAGAAATCTTATTTCTCGACAAGGATATGAATGCATTACAGTGAAATAAATGATGCAGGGAAGGAAGAATCGAGAGATTGAAGCCCTATGTTACCTATTATCTGTGTTTTTTCTACTATCAGACATTTTGTGAAGCTATATGTCATAGTCAACGCATTCAAAATATTCAAAGTAAATCTAATGTATTAGCAGTATATTATCTCAACTGGCCGCAAACTAAGTCTAATGAAAATTTTAATTTAAATCTCAAACGTGTATTTCTTTGTACCGAAAATGTATATAAAAGAAACGTCTCTATCAACTACTGTGGTCCCCAAGGCAATCATAAAAGTTGAATGCAATTCTTGTGCTCACCCATCTCCTCATGCTCGGCCCGACATCGGAAGAGTTGCCCAATTAAAATAAGTCGCGCATAAAGTTCTCTTAATATTATACGAATATTACCTAGTATCCAAATAATTCTTGATCTATAAAATATGCGGAATCGCAAAAACACAGAGAATTTCAATGATAGAATCAAACAAAATATAGTTTTCTATAACTAAACAAATTTGATACTAAGCCTACGCAGATTTTAGGTAATTTATGGATTAAATCGCTTACATAATCTTTGCAAGCGATTTGAGATAGAGAAAATTGAGATTTAAAAATTTAATTTAATAGGTTGATGAAATTGACTAAATATACCATTCTATACCGATTTACCGTCAATATACCTTCAACTCGATTTCGACGTCAAAATATTCTGAGCAGTGTATAATACATACATAGTAAATGGCAACATTGTTTGTTGGTCACAAATATAAATATATATAGATATATCAATATATACCCTGTAGAACCAAAGGGGTCAATTGACCCCTCTCGAACTAGTTCTGCGCTGTTTACCGCGCAACTAGCTACGCAACTAGTTACGCGGGAAGCGAACGCGGACCAGGTCTTCGTCGACTACACTGTACTAGTTCTGCAACTAGTTACGCGGGAAGCGAACGCGGACCAGTCGAAAAAGAACCGAAAAACGAAGCCGCCTTCGGTTTGTTTTTGAAGGCGGCAAATAACCGCAATTCCGTGAAGTTACAGTGCCCACTCAGCTAGTTTTTACCGAGCCACGACATGTAATGAGCACCGAAATGGTAAGTTAATCGTGATATTTTACTGTAGTTGCGATCGTGGAATGAAAGAGACAAGAATTTACACAAACAAAATGCATTTGTTTTCCTCGTTTGCTTTATGCATTGATTTTGTTCACTTCTGTACAAGATCTAATCGCTGGAAGAGTCTTTTGTGTGAACATTTATTAAAAAAGTGGAAAAGAATTAATAAATAAATCAAATTAATATAAACAGGTAAGTGCAAATACTTTTAGAAACTCTAAAACAGGAGAATGCAGTTATTCGTGGTAAGACTAATAAAGATTAACAGAAAAATATTTGTATAATCAAATTAATTAACAACATTGTTTTTAGATCAATTGAATGCAGTGGTCCAAATTTTAGCGGATCAAACTGTTTTAATAAAGCAGCTGGTAAAGGAGAAGGGGGAATTGAATCCCATTCGGGG